CCACGCCCAACTTGTAACACTATCATCCGACGCCCAATTTTTAACGCGATCATTTCTATCACGAAGCTCAGAGATGAGTTCATTAATTATTTCATTGATTGCTGCATTTTCACCCATATCGTCCAGGGCTTTGCGTGCACAGCGTTTGGCGCTATCGTTCGTACCATCAACTAGAATGAGAAGTCTATGAATTACTTCATTAGTGGCTGCTTTTTCACCCATTCTCCCGAGAGCTTCGCACGCAGTGCTTCTAACGCCATCATCCGTTTGATCAAGTAGATTCAGTAATTCATTAATTACTTCAGTAGTTGCTGTTTTTTCACTCATTCTACCGAGAGCGTTGCACGCACTCCTTTTGACGCTTTCATCCGTTTGTGCAAGTAGATTTACGAGTTCATTAATCACATCATCGGTTACTACTTTTTCGCCCATGCGACCGAGAGCTTCAGCCGCATTGCGTTTGATCGAAGTATTCGTGTCACCAAGTAGAATGATGAGTTTCTCAATCACTTCATTCGTTGCTACTTTTCCACCCATTTTACAGACAGCTTGAAGCGTATCCCATGCATATTGTGTATTCTTATCATTAAGTGCTGTTAGATGTAACCGAACCAAGTCTATGTATCGATTGGAAATCGGTAAACCAGAAATGAAGGAAAATGCCTTTTTGCTTATACTCTGATCTTTGTCTTCATACCAGTTTATGAATGTGTCATGTATTTCTGGTTGATCTACTAATATCGGACTTCTTTGTAATGACTCAATAAACTGACTGCGTGACTTGTTACGGTCCCCAGATACATAATATTTAATCCATTGAATTATTGTATTCATTAACTCTCCAAAGCGTGGAATCTGTCTGTCACACCTGGACTCCTCTAGGCAACCAATGGCAACGTTTACATGCCTGACACCTACGAGATCTAATGGTTCTCGCAACAACGTTTCCCAGAATAAAGTCAGAGCTTCTCCTCTATTGCAGTCGATGAGAAGACCGGACGTAAAACTGAAAACTGACTCGAAGCGTTGGTTGTATTTATTGGTTTTAATGAAATCGACTGCCTTCTGTTTTTGATCTGCGGTACCATTCAAAGCGTTTACCAAATATCGTGCAGCAAAATATTCTTGAAAACTAAACGGCATAAAGTAGTAGTCTTTTTCAACGTCAACTTGAGTAGCAATCAGTTTGTCGTCCAACGATTGTAGAATGCCGATATTGAGCACGACTGGGAATTGCTCTGACGAATACTTCATCTCTTCTAAAGTCTCTTCGAATAATTCTTTGTGTAGTATTATACGGTTTTTTTTCATCCCTTTAAAAGCCAAGGTTTCTAAAACTGCCAGTTCCGTAGAGCACCGTTCAAAAAGATCTTGTTTACTTATTTGAAATTCTTTATTTTGCTTTTCCAAATGTTGTCGACATAGCCATTCTGTAATGTTGTCGTAGAATCCCGTCATTGTGAGTTCTTTTGTTTTGGACAAATGTGTGTTAACCCAAAGACTACATATTAGTTCTAGATTTATCGAACTATGTGCTACATCCCAAAGTCTAGGATTAAATTTTAAAAAGGTTAGTAGCTCTTCACTTTCGAACGATGCATTGTTTTCTGATAGCTCGAAAAATTGTTTCACATATTGAGCAATTTTATCATCTGTAAAACCTGTAATTTCCAGTTCCACATCGTATGATAACGTATTTGAGTATGCACGTGACGTTATGATGTGATGTTGTGTAGCAAGCACATCATCTAAGACATGTTTTAATGTTTCTGGAATATTTTTTGCAAGTTCATCATAATCATCCAATAGCCAAAGAATTTTACTTTTTTCATACTGTACATTGAAAAATGTTTCGTCTCCGTCTGGTAAGTTAGCGAATGGAAAATATTCGTTTTGCACAAGGTATATTGGAGAATATTTCTCTTTTGATGGATCACGATCTGTTGTTAAATGTCGCAGTGGAATCAAAAACACTAACTCGAATTGTGGCCATATTTTGCCTGTTGCCCATTGATGAGCGATGTATTGACAAAATGTGGTTTTTCCAATTCCAGCTCGTCCAAGCACGAGCACTTTCTTCGTTTGTTCCTTGCATTCTTTGAATATATCCGTGATTTTTATTACAGTCTTCGTGCCGTATATCTCTTTATATGTGCTAATGATTGCATCGCTGGACTCCGTCTTGTCAAGCTTCTTCTCTTTTTCTTTTTGTAATTTGGTTTCTACGAGAGCTAAATTAATGTAACTTTGTTCCATTGTTTTGGGTGGATCTACAAAGCGTGCAATGCAATATTGTTGATATTGTTGTTTGATCCGTTCGAATCCCATAGCTAAAAAAAAAGCAGTGCTCAGACTTTAGCTTCCGCATGCTATGAAAATACATGATTAATATGAAATTTCTACTTAAAAGTATTTGGGTATCATCGGCTTTGAAATACCATTACATAGGTACCCGATTGAATGTTTGATACGTGATTGATTTCCTTCTCTCTCATTATTAAGACGATGCGGATTGGTGAAAATCTGAGTGTAGAGATGAATCTCCCTAGGGCACAAGACCGAACACCTCTGTATTTGAGATTCACTGATTCTAGAGAATCTCTAGGAAACTAACTGTACTAAACCGACATATTCTAAAGTTCTAAGTTTGTATTTGGGAAAAGGTGTTAACTATAATCGATTTTTGACAATGATTGTATGATGATTTTAAGAAATCCGTTGGTTGAACTTCGGAGATATTCTTGTAGATTGTATGTAGCAAAATGTTAGAATCATTTTTGGTTGGTTTACTTTCCTATCTAAAAATATGCGAAGTTTCTAAGTTTTTTCTTAAAACGTGTGTTCTGAAAATTTCTTCAAGCAGCTATTTAATACTTCGTAGAAGGATCTCAGCGTAAGAACTGAAACAAAAAAATCTTCACGAAACTCAAATAAACGAACTTTCTACTCTAAATGTGTTTTGCGGGTTGTCAGAAAAATAACTAGAAAAATAGTGGTAGGCGAAAAGCTGCATGGAAGAGGACATATATGATATTGTTTCATTCTGATCGACGTTGTTCTTTTCTCAAAATAGCAATAGTGAGTGCAATATGGTATTTACGAGTAATTCTAGTTTTCTTCAACATTTTCTCAGAGTCAGTCGCACCAATACAAAAATCTTTGGAATCAAACCCACTCTGAAATGTATCCCATGTCATGTGCATGTTAAACTCTGGAAATGAACCTGTCCCCGTGCAATAGCTTATGTATCTATACAAAATCCAAGTTACAAGACAGATATAGACGTTATTTTGAATTAACTTCATTTGATAAGTGTTGTCAATCTAGTTTCAGTAGTTTTCAGCTCGAAAATCTTCGTTTTCCATAGGAATTTTCAAAAAATACTACATTTTCCTTCCTTAACCTAAATAAGTTGCATACTGGGCTCTACAAAAATATTCGATAGTGCTAGAATCACTACTCTATTTTGTGGAAGACGCTATGACTATTTTGGTGAAGAAAGAAAAATACACTATTTCGTTGAAATACTCACAAAGAAAGACATTTCCCTGACTCATAGCGTTCATCGCCAGATCGGCAACACATTTCTGATGAAACTCAATCATTTTCAACTCAAAATCCAGGGTGTGGGTGTTGCTAGGGTCGGTGAAAGAGTATTTTTGGTGTTGTTAGGGTAGATGTAGTTGTGTGAATAGTTGAAAACTTGAATATTTGAATATCTGAATGTTTGTATAATTGAATATCTCAATATTTGAATAGTTAAATTCAACTTCCGTATTTGACACTACTGAAGTTATTCTATTTATAAGGTAACAATAACATTAGAAACTACAAATAATTTTCAGTCAGAAAACATTTCATCACTTGAGTATAGCTTGTCGTCTTCTTTTACTTCTCATAAATCTCTTCACTCCATTTTATTCAAAACTAATTGATTTTTTTGCGTTTAGTAAAATATATTGTACAGTTTTCTAATATTATGTCTTCTAAAAAAATATTTTAATATTCAAATAAAATTTACTTTTTATTTAAAAAAAATATTAGTCGGAATGTATTGAATTCTCGTTTCATAAATAGTACTTTTAATATTATAAACATAGAAAATAGTGCGGAAAATACAAAACATTTCAGAAAAATCTTGAAAACGTTTCATTTAATTACAGAAACGTATCAACTCTTCAAAAAAACTTTATCTGAAAAACTTATACTTTAATATGATGTTTCAACACTTCATAAAACTTTTTTCACATTCAAACTTTACATTTATACATGTATGTTGCAGTAGAAAATAAAATTCGGTAGAATCTCAAATTTCATTTTCTTGTAGGAAAAATTAAAATAAGAGGCGATTTTACATTGCACTAATAGAATTTGAAATCTGAATCTCTACTATAGATGAGTTTTAATCTGTACTGTAACATATATATGTAATGTACATGCTTTAGTTATAATTCAGCAACAATTTAGATATTAACTTATCTAAATTATATCAACATAGTTTATGAGAATTTTATGGTAATTTAATGTATTTATGAATTAATACTGATTAACTGTACTTTAAATAATACTTGTTAAAAATCTTCATGAGAATAACTATTATGTTTATTAATTATTGCAGGATTAAATAAAGGAATAAAAACTGTTCCCATTTTTATGTATGTTTCACTGTTCAGTAGAAAGACTTTTGACTTTTTATATATTAATGTTATGATTTTGAAAGATAAACGAAGAAATTAATATTAATGTTGTCATAAAAAGTGTGTATCAGTCTAATGATAGGGGAATAGAGTCAATATCAACCGATACTTATCATATCAATTTGATTTTGATTGGAAAACAATTTTTTATCTTTTAAAATGACTGATTGATAAACAAAAAACAAGTTTTTTTTATAGGATGAGTCATATACCCTAACCAGTTCCGCTCTTCTGAGTTTCTAAAGATTTGTTTGTTTTTAAAATATTCATTTTTATGTAGATCACTCGCCCAAAACTCGTAGATTATCTATCAATGAACTCACCAGTCGACTTGTTTGCTTCACCAATATTGGAACTGGTAGTTAATTGATTTTGCTCTTTGAGTAAGGATGATTTTTGAATCTCTTGTATATTCACATCATAATCACTCATTTGTGATGTGAGTTTATTAAGACTTCTATATAAATTGAATTTTGAATGAATATCAACTTTTTGTATTCGATGATTGAAACAATCGACAACATAAAGATTGCCTTCTATATCGAATGATAAACCTGTGGGATAATTTAATTGATTTAGTTCATCTCTTCCACCATTTCCATCAACAACAATTTCACCTTCTTCTTTTCCTTCACACCAACGCATTACTCGATGATTATGAGAATCTGCCACATAGATTTGGCTCAAATGATCGACAATCACTCCTCGAGGACGAGACAATCGTTTGAGATCATTTCCTTCACCATTTCCACCAGCAACAATAATTCCTTCTGTTGCATCTCTTTTCCATTTCATTACACGATGATTATAATAATCTGATATATAAAGCGAATAATTTTCATCAATAAAGATATAAGTGGGATAATTGAGTTGATTAAGATGATTTCCTTGACCATTGCCACCTGCAACCAATTCACCTTCTTTATCTCCTTTTTTCCATCGTCTTACGTCATGATTCTCACAATCAGAGACATAAATAAATCCATTTTTATCGATTGCCAGACCATAGCATTTAATATTTGAAATAATAATTTCTTGATTTGTTTGGTTTTTATCAAAAAAATATCGAATTACTCGTCTGTTTCTATGATCAGAAATAATAAAAGAATTATTTTTTTTATCAAAAATTATATCTGTTGGTTGATTCAATTGATTATTTTCATTTCCTTGCCCATTTCCACCTGCAGTGATTTGACCAGTTTTTGAATTAAACTTCCATTTGACAATACGATGATTATCCGAATCAGCAATATAAATTGATTTATCATTATCAATAAAGATCCCACAAGGATGAAAGAGTTGATTTAAGTCATTGCCTTGTTTATTTCCTCCAGCAACAGTAATTCCAAATTGTTGAGATTGATTCTTTTTTATTTGAATTTCCTCTAAAACAAAAGATTCTCTTTTTATTCACAACCTTTTTCATTATTTTTAAATCAAAAGAGGGCGAAAATAAGAAAAAAAACTTGTATTTGAATTTATTTTAATAAATTAAAATTTTCGTTTTGTTAAATTTAATTTTAATAGGATAAAACTAATTTTAAACAATTTCATTCGATTGAGATTTTTTAATTAAAAATTCTTTATTTGATTTTTATAAAAGTTCAATTTAGGAAAATCTTTTTTATTTTAATGATTTAAACAAAATCGATTAACAACTTCTTTTTTTATTAATAAATTAATAAAGTTTTTTTATTTAAAAATTATAAACTGAAGAATCAAACTTAGCTTAAATTTATTTAACAACTTAGAAACAAGATAGTCTTTTCATTAAAATACTAAAAGAGATTTTTCAAATGAAAAACATTCAAAAATTCTATTTATTCTGAGAAATTTATTTAGAGTTGACTTTTCTATTAAAATAAATCTTTTGAAAAACAAAAAAATAATGATTTTATAAAAAGATTGTTAATTGATTAATCTGTTGAAATACTATTGCGAATTAATTTTATTTAGGTTTCTCCAAATACTTAAAAATCATTAAGAATAAAATATTTCATATAGAGTTTTAATAAATTTGAAATATAAAAACATAAATGATAGAAATATTTAAAAGAATATTTAGAATGAAATAAATCGAAAGAAAATAAAATTTCTTATTTAATCTTGATCATTTTTAGAATTAAAAAAGTAATAAAAATCGATTTCCAATTAAAAAGAGAATTTTTATTTTATTTTTAACAAAATAAATTCGATTAAAATCAGATAGATTTTTATTTCGAAAAATAAAAATAATTTTAATTTTAAGTAAAAATAATTTATTTGAAAATTTATTTTATTTCTTTCTTTATTCTTCAAGTTTTTCTTTTATTTTAATATTTGAAAAAAAGAAATAAAATTTCCTATTAGCATATAGGGGTAGTACAGTTCACAGTTCCAAGTTCAGATGAACTGGTCAAATAACTGTATAGGCAGTTCTTTTGAAAGGAACTGAACTGTTCTAACAGTTCTTTCAGAGGAACTGATCTGTTTCAAATCCGTTTTTATTCTCGAAAAACTAGTTTTCGGACAGTTCAGTTCCCGTCAAAAGAACTATTATACAGTTCTTAAGAACGGAACTAATATGGAACTGTCCTACCCCTATTAGCATAGAACGTTCATGTCTAATTGAAATAATATCGAATAATGAGATGAATATTTTTAACACTTTCTCACTAGCTATTCGAAAAATGTTGTGTCCACCTACGACAGAATGTTGCTATTTATCAACATCTGACTAGAAAGGGTTAAAGATATATTATTTAGATAAATAAAATTAACGAATCTATTATTATAAAATTCTTATTATTTAATTTAGAAAACAACTTACTTATTTCTGTTTTTATTAAATTTGGTAAAAAAGCTCTTGCAATTTCTTTATTTTTTTTGCAACTAAATGAAATTTAATATGATTTAATATAAAAAATATATAAATACTTTTTAAAATTCACCATTTAATAAATTCATTTTCTGTTACTGGATATTTATTACAAATTTTCATAATTTGTTCAGCAATAGATTCTGCTTTAGGTATATTGACACTTGATGAACCATTATTAAGTTCCTGTATTGTTTCAATAAACTTACCTATGTATTTAACACCAATTCTTTTAGAATGATCATAATCAAGAACAGAAAATATCTAAATATAAAGAAAAATTTTTTAGAATATATTGGAATTTTTTTTATCACAAACTAGATGAAGTCGTATCTCGGGATCACTTGAACTTGTAATAGCAACAGCAGTCATAAATTCTGAAAAGTTTATTTTGTCATTGTTGTCTTTATAGATTGTTTTGAATGCCAATTTACAGAATTCTTTCGGATCGCCTCTAAACATCAATAATCAATATAAACTACGAACTATATGAATTTTGCTTTGTAAATTTATAGAAATTTCATTTCAAAAATGATAATTAAAAAAAAAGATTTGATCAATAATATAGTTTGAGTGTATAGATATATTTTACAGATTGAGATCATCATGATATTATCAACTAATTCGATTTGATCAAAAATTTTAAGAAAATAGATAAAAGATAGCTCACGAAATCTGAATGAGTAACGATCTTTTCATTTTGAAGGTTAATGAATCTCTTTTTATATTATATGTACACATAATTCATCATTACAATGAAAAAAAATAAATTTTGATTATTTTCAAAAATATGAAGACATTTAAATAATAGTATTTAAGATCGAATCCAGGGTTAAATTAAACAAGTAGTCAATTGATTTATTTGTTTATTCAATCATTTATATATTCTACTAATGTGAATAAGAATGCTCCTATGGTATCTTTGGGTTGAGATAGGGACTTATCAACTGAACAGTAAAATAAATGAAATGGTTAATATAATATCTGTAAGTGGTAGTAGAAAAATATAGTTTTAATCAGTTAAGGGTATGGTTTCGATCCGTAGAAAACATTTTTTGTCAGTGCAAAATGCACTTTAGTAAAACAAGAGAAATGCAGTAAAAGAGCTACCGAAAAATTAACAAGAAATCTGCCAAAATATTAAGTAAGAAATTTATAAATTAGTGCTAATAAAGAGAACGAACATTAAATTATTGCATCAATAGAGCTGGTTTAGTTTGAGGGTGAGGGTGTGGCTATGAGGATACTCTATATTATAGTTACACCCACACCCTCGTCCGATTGGTTTCAGTCCTTATTGTTTTTTCTTATTGAAAATAATTATTGAATAATATTAACTATTTATAGTTGGAAAAACTTACTTAGGAAAAAGTTTTTTCAATTCTTTAATAAAATCTTCCTTTGAAAGTTCACCATCAGGACTTAACATACAAGACATATAGAAAATATAGAAATTTGAAAATTCTAATGTGTACTTACTAATCATTGATAAATTCTTGAAATTTATTTTTTAAATCCCGTTCTACCAAATTTGGATTTTCTTTCAAAATTAAATTAATTTGTTCAGTAGAAAGGTTACCTAGATACATTAAAATAGAATCAATATTTATTTGATAACATATTTTTATATGTAATTATTTCTATATCTGATTTAAACTCTTCATTCTTATTTATTGAGTCAAAATATTATTAAATTCACTTAATATAGTTAACATAAAAAATAAAATTCAAATTATCTAATAATATACTTACATAATGAATCTTTTAAGACATCGCGTGATTCGATTGATCCATTTCTTGAATAATAACAAATAGCAGATTTAGTTGATTCTTTTACTAAATGTGACTGTAAATCATAATCAATAACCCAAAACTTAGCATTTTTATTATCTTTTTCATTGTTTTTTAAATTATTAAAATATTTTATTTGTTTTAATGAATTTTTTTTATTTTGATTTACCCATTCTTCACATATATGTAATAAATAAATATCATTATCTTCAATATAATCTTCAATGTAATCTTCAATTGAATGAATTTTTTCTAATAACTCATTTTTATTTGGACTAATTCTTTTTAAATTGTTTATTTTATTTTCAATATATTTATTCTTCTCAAGAAATTTTTCAATTTCTATACATGAACATGAGTGGTTGCAAAAACCTCTAATAAGTTTAATCATTTCTGATTCTTCAGATTTATTACTACGAATAGCAACTAATAATTTTGATATTTCACCTTTTAGTTCTGATTCTTCATCATTAAAATTTGATATTTTTGTTTCAATTAAATCAAGCCATTGACGAGGAATGTATTTTGTCCATGGCTTGATATCATGGAAAAAATCATTTAATTTCTTTTGTTGATTATTCATTTGTTCAAATATATTTCCAAGACGATTAATAATTTTTAAAGATACATCTTGTATCAATCTAATATAAAAAAACAATTTTAATATATGAATGAAACTTGACTGATATTAAGGCTGTTTTCTCATCCCAAAAAATATACCAATTTTATTAATAGTAAAATCAAATCAAGAGAGATTTTTAACGATGTTTCTCAATGAGTTTTTAGAACCACATTCATACTTTCATATGGAAAGTACCAAAAATAAATATTGATAATTCTTTTGAAGAGAATATGAAAGGGAATTGAAAGATATTCGGAATGAATCTTTCAAATAGCATCTGAAGTCTCTCTTGATTTGATTTTAATACAATAGATCGATATAATTATGAAACGAAAAAGATCTTAATACTACTTAAATGTCTTTACAACTGTGTTCTTTTTTACAAACCTAGAAATATTATTTTTGACTTTTGCTATTTTTGCAATTTGTTCTAAAGAACAAAGTGTATATATAAGTTGGATTCCTTTTCCATTATTTGTTGATTTAATAAGATTTGGAACATCTTCGCAAACACTCATAATACCTTCAATTGTTTGTGGACATTTATTAGTTAATGCATCACCAGAAAAAAATATTTTTAATGACGTAACATCCAGCTTTTCTTGTTTATTACAATTTAAATCTGCTTTTCCTTTAATACCAATTTCCACGTTTGCAAAACTTGCTTTTAACATACCTTCAATTTGTTCTTTTTCATCACTGTTTTCTGCTATTTGTTCAAATGTTGCAGCTACATTAGCTCCCCATGTAATTCCAACAACAGCATGTGTTGCATTAGAATCTTGAAATGCATAAGACGAAAAATATTCACATAACTTTTCCATAGATAGCGATAAATGTTCGCGCTTTGTTTTAATTTGATATATAAATGTACCTCGAACAGTATGACTATTTCTTTTTGTCTGTGTTAAATATTTTGCTGATTCCCCAACATGAACTAATCCTGCCATTAAACTTAATTTTAAATCAGCTTCAATATTTAACTTATCTAATGTTTCTTTTTCTGAATTATGAAAATCAAGCCAATAGCGTACATTAGCACAATCATAACATTTTAAAAATGAAACCGGTAATTCCTTTTCAAATAAATTTCCCAGTACGAATTGATCTGTACGAATATCATATAATGAACCAAGACCTTCCAAACGTCCAATTGCTTGTCGTTCAATTACTTCATCTGATTCCATGAGATTATTTTTACTCTAACATAAATTAAGAAAAATATTAAACAGTTTCAAATCATTTTCTATATTGACTACAGTTGTGTTCTTGGGATGGAGTAACTTGAAAATATTCGAATATAAAAGATTCGATATTTATACATCCTGAATCATTTTCCTAAACTGCGATTCCATATACCGAAACACTTTCAATAAACAAACTGTTTTGAACATCTAGTCGGATAGCAGAAGTTACGTGATTCCAGTCCTGTAAAGAGCATCTTTTTCTTCGTTTCGTCACATAATATTGATCTCATCTGTTGCTGTACAGCTCTGTACATATAAGAGCCAACAGCAGGTATGGGTGCGAGTGGACTGCGGACGCCTGTCTTCTCTTAACTTACATCCCAAACCTACACCCCCACTATTCAACGATAGTGACTTCTCAATTGATAAAATATCGTGAATGAGAACAGAAAATAAAAAAGAATATATACTTTTTATCAATAATTTCTTTCTCTTTTTATCCTCTTCCTGTTCTCTCAGTTATCTCAATGCCTATACTTACGAAAATAAATGAAGTACTATCTTGAGGGTGTGGGTGTGGGCGTTCATTACTCATATGCAGCTACACAAATACCCACATCCACCCACACCCACAGTCATACCCATACTCACAACCAGCCACAATCGGGCGCATACCCTTAAGCTGTATAATTTGCAGTATGAGAACAACTAACCGTTCCACTACTTTGACAAAACTGATTTATCATTTGTTGATCGATGTTTGATAGATTATTGTCGCGTAGAAAACGAGTTGTACGATTTTGACCAGACGGATTTTGCGAATATAATGGTTCGTAGTGAGTGCCATTGTAAGCGACATAAGCACAATATATGGCATCTGTCGGTCCAATCGGAATGATACGACTGTTAATAACATCAAGAACTCGGACTTCGATACCATGAAACGTTGCGAAGAGACCAATTTCAATATTACCACCCCAACTATTAGGTTGCTGAATCCACTGTATGTATTCATCACGCGGTCTCTCGAGCACAACATCAGTATATGTTACTGGATCATTTTCGATCATGCAAGCGAGATCATTTCTCAGTCGTATATTGGTATCATGTGCATTTTCAACATCGAAATTTCCGTTATTGATGATAAAGTTAAGCGTAGTAAACAGACATGAATTGTCAGCTGGGACTTGTTGTTGTTGATATACGGATGACACAGGATTCTCGATGGAAACCGTCGAAAGTTTGTCATTCGTTTCGTTTTTCATAAGTGTTGTTTACGTAGTCTGCAATATACGATCATTTACATGAGACAACATATGGAATCATAGCGCATACTAGAAAAAGTGGAAGAGTAGTAGTAGGACGCACATGTCGTATGATGTAATTCCTAGAGATAAGCATCTACATTTATTTCCTTTCATTTTGACTCCACTAAAATATCTGTTCGAAGTGCACTGTCGAAAAAAGATGTCGTAATGAATCACTTAGGATTTTACCGAAGATCCTGAACTTTTCGGAGCTCTAGATTCGGGTACTATTCATAAAAAAAACGTGAAAAATCTGATTTTCATCGATTCTATATGATGAAAAATTGATTTATATGTCACGACGGGTATGAGTGTGGATGAATGTGGGTGTGGGTGGCAATATGATAGTTATTATGTTAGTGTACCTACATCCGCACACCGTCAAGTACATAAAGGGGAGCGGAGAGGGAAAACTCACTATTCTTGGAAGCTGAAAAATCAAACTGCTAAAACGTAATGAAAGTGTGTCGTTCTCCAGTCCCGTATGAAACTTCTTCTGTGTTCATCAGAAGTGTTGAGGGTGTAGGTGTCTCTAAAGTATCATCAACAGTCGTTTCCCGTCCTCTGATGGAAGAAGGGTGTAGGTGTGTGTGGGGGTGGGTAGATATTAGCGTCAGTGGTGATATAAGCTAACGCTAAATGAAGATTAGATGTGCTTTTTGATCTAAATTCTTCGAACATCTGCCCAGATAGCAGAAGATACGTGGTTCGAGTCCTGTGAAGGACATCTTTGCCATAGTTTTGTCACATAACATCGGTCACATCTGTTTTTCTACAGCTCTGCACATATAAGAGCTAACACTAGGTATGGGTGCGGGTGTGCTGTGAGCGTCTATCTTCTCTTAACGCACATTCCATACCTACAACTTAAGTATTCAACGATAGCGACTTCTCAAGTGATAAAATATGTTAAATAAGAAGAGAAAATCAAAAGGAATGGTTCTTTTCAATAATTTCTTTCTCTTTTTTTGCTTTTTCTATTCTCTCAGTTATCTCAATGGCAATACTTACGAAAATAAACGAAGTAATATGTTAACCAGATGCTGAAAATAAGTGGGAGATGATGACTACCAGAACGATAAAAGAATCAGTAATCGTATTTTATCTGAAATAGAAACAAATAAATTGAATACAAAACTCAAATATAATTAGATTATCAAGTTTTATATGAAGACCAAATGTTTGTTCATCAAAATTCGATTCTATTTTCAATTCGAATCATTTCAGTTCAGTTTCGTACCCAGCATATCTTTGCAAAAATAGATTTTCTTCTAAATCGTAACGGTCAAAAAAAATCTAGAATAATCCTACTTAAACTTATACACATAATGTCATATAACAATAATAAGCTTTTGTGAAACACGAACTAAAAGGAGTGTTGAAGTTTTTAAGGGTAGAAATCATACCCATCCTCTGACCTTCTCCCTCAGACCGTGACAGCAGAGATGTCCATCGCGGTTGAGAATCTGCCGCTGCCGCGCCGCGGCGATATTGTAAAAAAGCTAACGCGCCGCTGCCGCGCCGCGACTATAATAAAAAGAAGTGTGCCGCACCGCGCTCCTATAAAAGGTTGCCGCTACCGCGACGCTGCCGCGATGGGACTTTTAAAAATCTTCCGAGTCTCAAGGCTGAGAGTGGTTTAAACGAGTGCTGTTGCTGCTAATCGATGAGATTCGTCTAGTTTTACATTGTGGAATACGTCAATGTCGAGATTATGTGTAAATTTCGTAATTTTTAAAATTGTTTCCTGAAAGAGCTACCGCGCCGCTGCCGCGACCGTCTGATAAAAGTTGCTGCCGCGCCGCGAACGCCACGGCGGCAGCGGCGCGGCAGCGGCGCGGCAGCGGTAGCGGCAGCGGCAGCGCCGCCATGGACATATCTGCGTGACAGGCATTATTAATTAATATTAATCAAGTAGCATTAATTATTTGTCATTAATCAAGTAATATTAATTGATTATTAATAGCTAATTCATATTATTTAATTCATAATAATTAGGGTGAGTGTGGATGAGAATGACTTATTCTTATTTATACATTTATATTTACACTCATCCATCCTTATTTATCGTCCAATCTCTTCAACAGTATCATAATAATCATAGATATTTCCATGTTTAAGTGTAGCTGGTTCTGGTTGACGACCACTTGTATTTTTATCTGCATTTCGATTAGTTAATGTAATAGCTCGATTACTAACATCAATTGACACATTTTTATCTTTTGTTAAATCATTTCCATCTTTCGATAATGTTACATTAACTAATGGACTACCAATATAAAAAATTTTAATAACAATTGATTCACCTTTATCATAATTAAGAACATCTTGATATTTTGGTGGTGCTAGAAATAAAAGAATATATAGTAAAAAATTTATTTTTATTTATAGATTTAAACTTATATCGAACATTAACATTACAACGACACATTCTTGAACCACCTTTATAAGTGCTTTAATACTATATTTATCAACATCATCTGATGTAGCATTCTTGATAATCGAAAGACATTTATCACCATCATTTGTTATAGTATATTTAGCACCTTGAGAGACTTCTTTTGTACCTTTGAACTTAATTATTTATTAGAAAGAAATAGTTTGATATAACTAATTAACGAAAAGTAACGAACCATTCAACATCAGGTTTAGGTGTTCCAATAACTTCACATTCCAATGTAATTGTTTTACCTTCAATACCTTCAGCATCTTTTAATTTTTTAAGAAATTCTGGTGGAGTAGATGCATTTGGATCTTTAACCTAATGAAATAAAAAATCTTATTTAGAAAGTATTGAAAAACTTCATTTCTATATACTTTAGTTGGTGTAGTTGCATCAGATGGTGCTCCTTTACCAGCTTCATTTTCAGCTGTAACACGAAATTCATAAATATGATCTTCGACTAATGATGGTACTGTAAAATGTGTTGATTGGCATGGTGACATATTGACTGGTATCCATTTATCAGTATTTCCTTCACGTTTTTCAATCCAATAACCAGTTATAGGACCACCACCATCAGAAGTTGGTTTTTCCCAATTAAGTGTGACAGTATTATTTGTCATTCCAGTCATATCTCGTTGTCCTGGTGCACCAGGTGGTTCTATTTAAAATTAAAAAAAAACTTTTTTTAGAAAAAATAAAATTAATTATAATTAACATACTGAATGGAAGTTTAGCAGTAGTTGGTGCTGTTGAACGTAATGGTTCACTAGTACCATTTTCATTAATAGCCATAACACGAAAATCATATTCATGTCCATCAAGTAATGATGGAACAGTAAATGTTGTTTCTTTACATGCTTGTGTAACTGGTATCCAAGCATCGGCTCCTTTTGATGTATCACGTCGTTCAACAACATAACCAGTTACTTTACTACCACCATCATCTTTTGGTGGTTTCCATGAAAGTGTTGCACGATCTTTCGATACATTTGATATTTCAAGTGGACCAGTTGGAGGAAGTGGTGGTGCTATAGTAAAAAAAAACTTTAATCTGAAGTTTTATGATAGTTTTTAATCATACCAATGATTTTAACTTTCAAAGGAACATTACATGATCCTGAATCATTTGCAACATTAATTGCATATTTACCAGCATCTTCTCGTTCAGTATCTGAATAAGATTAAATATAGAATTTAGAAAACGAAAAAAACAAATTTGATAGAATACAAACCAGGTATTGTAACAACAATAAAATCATCAAATTCTTGAATACGTACACGATCATCATTAGCTAATGATTGACCATCTTTATTAACTTGAAATTTAAATGGACCTTTTCCAGTAATAGGAATTTTAACTTTTAATGTATCACCCAATGGAACTCGTTGTTCTTCTGGTTCACGTGTAAGTTTAGGTGGTGCTAAAAAAAGAAGGCAATAGATAAAATTAAATAGTAATGAATTTAAACTCTAATAAAAACATACTTTTAACGTGAAAAACAGCTTCACATGTGTCACGTCCAAGTGGATTAACAATTTCACATGAAATCTTTGAATTATTATCACTATCCCAAGCTTCATTGAATATTAATGTCGATTTTGATTCATTTGGTCTTGTAACAATACGATAACGACCAGATGATGATAATTCTAAACCATTACGAAACCATTTAACTTCAGGTGCTGGATTAGCATCAAATTCAATTGTAAATGTTGCTTCACCATTAAGAGGTGCACTTGTATCTGTTAATTTTTTAACAAATGTTGGTGCTCGTCCATCTAAATATATCATATGTAAATATTTTAATTTAAAACAAAAATATTCTATTACTTGGATATTCAGTTATTTTAACTCGACCAGTTGTTGAACTTGGTTCACTTTCACCAGCTTTATTAACTGCTTTAACACGAAATTCAACTTCACCATTTTCGGGTAAATCAGTTATTGTAGCATTATTATCAACTGACATATATGGTGAGGCTTTAACCCATTGATCAGTGCCAGCTGGTCGTTTTTCAACAATATAACCAGTTATTTTTGAACCACCATCATTTGTTGGTGTTGCCCATGCTAATTCAACGTAATTTTTACCAACTTTCTTCACTTCTGGTATACCAGGTGATGAAGGTGCGACTAGAAACAAAAACAAAACGAGCATATTTTTATTTTTCAATGAATTTTTTCACATACCACTATCAGGTTTAAGTGTAACTGGTCGATCAAGTTTAGTATATTCTCCCCAACCAGCAGCATTTTTAGCTTTAACACGAAATTCGTATGGTTTTCCTGTTGAAAGATTATCAACTGTAAAATCATTTCCTTTAATTGGATAATCATTTGCAATTTCCCATATATCACTATCGGGTTTTTTTATTTCAACTTGATAAGCAGTTACTTTGGAGCCACCATCATTTTTAGGTTTATCCCATTTTAATGTAACTGAATTTTCTGTTTGTTTACCAACTTCAACATTAGCTGGACCTTGTGGTGCATCTAAACATAATCGACAGGAAAAGATATTTTTATCGATTCAATTTTATTTCAATAAAAATTTACCAAAAGGATTTTTTGCAATAATTGGTTTTTCACATTCTAATGGTACACTTTGTCCATAAAGATTTTCAGCCGAAACACGAAATTTATATTCTGAACCTTCATTAAGTCCAGTTACTTCATAAAATGGTGAACGACAGAAACTTGATACTTTTTGCCATTCACCTTTTTTCGTGTCAAATTTTTCAATAATATAATTAGTAATTGGTGAACCACCATCAGTCTTGGGTGGTTTCCATGTCAATAAACATGAATCAGGTTTTACATCAGAAATATTTAATGGTCCTTCGGGTGTATCTAAAATTCAAAGAAAATATTAGAATTTAATGTTCGAAAAAAAGAAACTAACCTGGTTTATCAACAACAATAACTTTCATTTGAACAGTTTCTTGTCCAAGATGATTTTTCAAAGTACATGAATATAAACCAGTATCACCAGCTTTTACTTTTGGTACAATAAGTTCAGCAATACCATCTTTAACAGTTACTTGATTATTTCCATCAGGTTTAATTTCATCGCCATTTTTAGCAAATGTAACTTGTGGTGCAGGTGAACCAACAAATGGTACAGTAATTTTAAGATCTTCACCAGCACGAACAATAATTTCTTTTGGACTAAATGCACTGAAACCAACAGCATGTGGAGCAACATCAGGTGGACGAGCTTGAATTGGTCCTTCGGTTTTAGCTAAAAATAGAATATGAATTAAAAATAATAGCAACAAAAAATAAATTCAAATATTTACCATATTCTCCTGGACCAGCTCTATTAACGGCAGCAACACGAAATTCATATTCTTTGCCATCAACAAGAGCAGGAACAGTATATTCAGTACCTGCAGTTGGTTCGCGGTTGACACTAAAATTTGAATTGAATTTTAAACGATAACTGAAATTTAATAAATTATTTCTCTTACGGAATCCATCGATCAGTTCCTTTTTCTTTCTTTTCAATTAAATAACCTCGAACTGGATTTCCACCATCATTTTGTGGTCGTGCCCATTGTAATGTTATTGATTCACTTGTATGTCCTATACATTCAGGTGTACCTGGTGCATCTGGTGGTCTAAATGGCCATTTAGCTTTAACTGGTGTATCAACTACTAACGCTTCTGAAAGACCATTATCATTTTCAGCAGCTACACGAAATTCATAATTTTTTCCATCTTCTAAACCTCTAACATCACACGTTGTGCCTAATACAGGTGGACCAACTTTTGTCCATTTTTCTGTTCCTGCTTCACGTCGTTCCACAACGTAATGTTTTATATCATTACCACCATCATCTTTCTATAAAATAAGAAAACACAATGAAATACAATTGAAATTCTTTTTTTTTGTAAATTTAATTTACTGGTGGTTTCCAATTAAGTGTACATCCTTCAGCAGTTACATTTGTTGCGTCAAGTGGACCTTCAGGTTTTGTTGGTGGTGAAAGAACATTAACACGAAATTGTACTTGATTTGTACCTTCACTATTTTTTAATACTAATTTATATATACCAGTATCTCCTCGTTCAGCTTTACGATTAAGTAATGTAACAACATTATCTAATGTCTAAAAGAAACAAAGTTTACTTTTTTCTTCTTTTTGTGTTTCTCTTCTTACTTTAAGATTCACACGATCATCAGGAGCTAATTCTTTATCATCAACAAACCATTGAGCTGTTGCTTTTGGTGTAGCTTTACATGGTATATGTAATTCGAAATCTTTGCCAGCTTTTACTGTTATATCTTTAATACTACCCAAATCAAGAAATGATGGTTTGTCTACATAAGAAAAAAACAATGATTAGTAAATTATAAGCAGTACGTATAGTAAATGATATACCTGGTTGATCTTGAACAGTAATTGCATCTGTTGGTCGACTTGGTTCACTAGGACCAATTGCATTAACAGCTCGAATACGAAATGAAACATCTTCACCTTCTTTTAAATTTGGAACAGTATATGAATGTTCACGGCCTTGTACTTCGCCAACTTCAGTCCAATCACGACTAAATAAAAACATTTAAAATTCTTATTGTAATTTTATTTTCAATTAATTATTTAAACAAACCCATCAGCTGGTTTTTTCTCAATAACATAACCTGTTATTCTAGTACCACCATCATTTGCTGGTTTTTTCCATGAAAGTGTTACTGAATCTTTTGTAATTTTTTCAACTTTTGGTTGATCAGGTGCATCAGCTGCATACATTGGTACTTCAGCTTTTTGTGCTTGTGATGGTTTGGATGGTGTTCCAGGTCCAGCACCATTAACAGCAGCAACACGAAATTCATATGTTTGACCTTCACGTAAACCAGTGGCAGTATATTCTGTACCTTTAGTTGGAAAACTATTGCATGGTACCCAATTATTACTACCCTTTTCACGCATTTCAACATTATAACCAGATATTGGATTTCCACCATCTTTTTTCGGTTTTTCCCATTTAAGTTTAATAAATGTTGAATTATATTCGACTATTTCTGGTGTCTCTGGTGCATCAGGTGCATCTAAAACAACACAAAAACATTCATTCAAAAGAGAAATATTGATTGTTTTTTTTACCATATGGTGGTTTAACAGTTATAGCAGATGTTGTTTCTAATGGTTCACCAATGCCATAGATATTTTCGGCTTTAACTCGAAATTTAAATTTTTTATTTGTTTCTAAATCTTTAATAGTTCCTTTTGGTTGTGTAAATACACCAGGAACTTTTTCCCAACGATCAGAATTTTCTGCACATTTTTCAATAATATAACCTGTAATATCTCCACCGCCATTTTCTTTTGGTGGTTTCCATTGAAGTGAAACACTATCTTTTGTTGTTTCTGTTGTTTCTAACGGACCTTCAGGTACTCCAGGTTTATCCAATACAATAACGTCAATATCACATTCATCTTCACCCGAATCATTTTTCAATTGGATTTTATATTTTCCTGTATCTCCTCGTTTAGCTGATGGTTTATGTAATTTAGCATGTATATCATCACTTTCAAGTTGAGTACTAAATAAAAAAATTCAGTTTAAATTGAAAGAAAAAAATCATTTATAAAACAAACTCTCGAGTTGGTTGAACAGTTTCACCGTCTTTTATCCAAGTAATTACTGGTGTAGGTGACCCATTTATTGGTACATCAATAGTTAAAGGTTCACCAGCTTTGACACGTATTTCTTTTTTGCCAAGTGGACCAAATAAACTACTCAGATCAAACGATGGTTTTTCTAAAACAAACAAAATTCAGTAAGAATTTCAGCTACAGAAAAAGATAATCTACAGATTTGGGATCAAAAAATATAAAGAAGCTGATTTGTTGTCTTAAAATAAAATATTCGAAGTTGACATACCTTTTTCTGGACGAGCAGCAATGCCACCAGATGAACTACTTGGTTCACCTGGACCAGCTTCATTAACAGCAGAAACACGATATTCATATTCTTTCATAGCTGTTACATTTTCATCAACAAAGTTTGTTCCCTAGAAGAACAACAAGAACGTATGAAATTAAATGATTTCATATGAAACTTACTTTGTGAAGTTCACCACGATTAATTTTTGTCCATTCTTTCTTGCCTGTTTTGTCTCGTCGTTCAACAACATAACCTTTAACTGGATTACCACCATCATTTCTTGTTGGTGTCCATTTCACTTCAATATGTTTACGATCACGCGATACACATTCTGGTGTACCTGGTGCGCCTGGTTCAGCTATAGAGTAGAATAAAAAAATTAATTCAAAATAAAAATAAATAAAACTAAAAAAATTTACTAAATGGATTCTTAACAAGAACAGCTTTGTCAGTGACTAATGGTTCAGAAAGACCATTTGCATTTTCAGCCATAACACGAAATTCATATTCATGTCCTTCTTTCAATTTTCCTATTGTTACTTGTGTACCATTAACAGCTTCAGCACAACGTACCCAATCACCACTCTTTTTATCGCGTTTTTCAACAACATAATTTCTATAAAAAATAGTCATTTTTGTCATTAGAGAAAAATCATATTCGAATATCTTACGTGATTTCTTTGCCACCAGTATCTGTTGGTGGAAGCCAGGCAAGTGTAACACTTGATTTATTAACGTCCTTAACTTCTAATGGACCGCGTGGCATTGATGGTGGACCAAGAACAATAACTTCACAATCAGCAGTGTCTGATCCAGAATCATTAACTAAACGAATTGTATATCGACCTGTATCGGCTCGAACAGCTTTTGTAATAATAAGTTTAGCTAATTTATCTGTTAGTGTCATTTGTGTACGATCATCAGATTTAACCTCCTTAAACAAAAGAAGTCAAAATTAAATAAATAACAAAAAATCTCATATATATATACATACAGTTGATTCTCGTTGCCAATTCATAGTTGGTAATGGTTCAGCTGCATATGGAGCTTCTAATGTTATTGTTTGACCTGCTTTAACAGTAACTGATTTAAGATTAACTTTATTTATACGTGGTTTTACTAAATAAAAAAGAATTTCTTTGATTGTCTTATTAAAAAAAGAGAGAGATATTTCATACAGAAACGTGGTTTAGCAAGAACTACTCTTGATGGTTCACTAGGTTCTGATGGACCAGCTTTATTAACAGCAACAACACGAAATTCATATTCTTTTCCTTCAGATAAACCACCACAAGAACCTTTTGTTGAACTACCAGGAATTTCTGCACCCTAAAAAAAACAATAATTTTCGTTTTTACATGAAAATAACAATAACAAATAATCAACCTTTTGCCATTGATCTTTTCCTTTTTCTCGACGTTCAATAACATATTTTTCAACAGGTGCACCACCATCTTTTTCTGGTGCTTGCCATTCAAGATCAACACGATCTTTATCCCAATCAGATACTTCTGGTTTACCAGGTGCACTTGGTTCATCATATGGATTTCTCGCTAATGTTGTACCACTTGTTTCTAATGGTTCACTTTCACCTTCTTTATTAACAGCACGGACACGAAATAAATATTCTTTTCCTGGTGTTAATTTGTTTACACGTAATGATGTATTATCTCCATTAACTTCACCAGCTGGTCCCCAAGTACCACGTTCAACATCTTGTTTTTCAACAATATATCTTTCAATATTTGAACCACCATTATCCAATGGAGGTTTCCATGAAATAACAGCACTTTCTTTCAGTACATCAGACACTTTCATTGGACCTTCAGGTTTACCAGGACGATCTTAATTATAAACAAAAAACGAGATATTGAATTTTCCTTTATGATCTATTTATAATTAAAATATTCTTACCAAGAACAGTTACCGCAATAGGAATTTTAACTTCTCCTTTTGCATTTTTTAATATTAATTCATATTGACCTGTGTCACCTCGTTTTGATTTTTCACTAAAAAAATATAAAATCATGTTTATAGTAAGAAAAAACATCAAATCATTTTTTTGTCTTACATATTTAATTTACATCGTTTTGCATCGATTGATGTTTGACATGATGAACCATCTCCAGGTTGAACTGGTTTACCATCTTTCAACCAAACCATTGTTGGTGCTGGATAAGCATCATAAGGAATTTCAAGATCAAGTGGTCGTCCAGCTTTAATTGTAACAGATTTACCAAAACGTGTTGCATCAATACGTGGTGGTTTTTCAGCTAAATAATTTTTATTAATGAATTATTTCAAATATACAAACAAAAAGATTTTCATACATTCTTTAACAGATATTTTGCAACTTTCTTTCAAATCACCACATTGAAATGAAATTTCTCCAGCATCTTTAAGACCAACACTTTTTAATTTTAATTTATAAACATTTCCTTCAGTAAGAATAACCGTTCTAAATAATAATAATATAAAGAATCGAATAAAGTATATGATTATATTTTACTTTTGATCTGGATACATGACTTTGCCATCTCTCATCCATTTGCCTCGTGGATCAGGTTTAGATAATGTAACTTCAAGTGTAAGATCTTCTTCTTCCAATGCATCAATATCTTTTAATCCTTTTTCAATTCGAAGTGCAGCTAAAAAAATAATATTTTTTTTTTAAATAAAAGTTCAATAAAAAAAAGTTCAATAAAAAAAAGAATAATTATCATACGTTTAATAGATACATCACAGTGTGTTGACATAACACCTGTTTTGCATTCATATCTTCCTTTATCTTCAGTTGGACTTAATTTCTTAATAACCATTTTACGAACTTTTCCATACGATATTATTTCATATCTATCAGGATATAATTCCGGAAGAATTTTCTATTATAAATAAAGAATTGAAAATATATCTTTTTGTTGATAAATAATATTTTACACTTACTTCACCCTCAAAGAACCAATCACATTCGGCATCTTCATCTTGAACACTACATTCAAGTTCAATTTTATCATTTTCATCACCTTCTAATGTTGCAGGTAATTTTGTTTCAAAACGCCATTGTGGTTCTATTAAAAATATTTTGAAAATATTATTTTAATTTTTCCCTATATTGAATTACCTTCGACATAGACTGAACCAGTAGTTTTAATACCACGTTCATCATCAATTTGACATGTATATTCACCTATAAGAAATCATTAGATAAATAAATTAAATTCATTTTTCTAACCTTCATCAGCTTTAGTTGTTTTAAATATACGGAAGATACATCGTGTCATATCTTGATGATATTTCATACGTTTATCTTTTTCAGTCTAAATATAAACAAAAAAGAAATCAAATAGTAATACTATATGAGATTGTAATGTACCTTTGTGATATTCCTAAACTTACTCATGAAAAGTTATTACAGACTTTCTAACTATTGCAGACAGTTTGTTGAAATCAAATCAAACTAAGACATCTCTCGATTTCCTACTTATGGTTTTTGTCATCAGCGAAATTTCAAAGAATTTAGAAATATGTCATATTGAATTTCGTACTGAACAAATACGAATTTCCTCTACAATTGTAATTCGTGAAATGTACACTTACGTCAATAAGAACTCCATTTTTATACCATTTAACAGGTGCATTTGGATCATTAACGTGGTATTCAAGTATAGTTGGTTTTGTTCGAAATACTTCCATTCTAGCTGGTAATTCTTTATAGAAATCATACAATGGTATAGCAGCTAAAAGAGAAAAAGACAAAATTCATATTTTTTTTTATAATATTATTTTTTAAATACATACGTTTTACTTCTAACCATGCAGATGTTTCAATATCATTTACACGACAAAAATATTTTCCTGAATCATCAGGATGTAATTTATAAATAGTTAATTTTTGTCTAGATAAAATATTGATAGAGAGAGAATAAAAGAAAAGAGAATTCTTGTAACTCACTTTGCTCCGCTTGAATCAAAATGATATTTTAAACCATGAAAAATTTCAACTTTATTTTTAAGCCTTTAAATAAAAAATATTGAATTTTCTATTGCAACAAAATCTAATCTTATTTGGAACCTACCATCGTATACGTGTACTAGGTTTGCAAAACGTACAATTAAACGTAATTTCTCCATCTTCTTCTTTACATTTAATATCTTGTAATGGTTCAACAAATGCTTCTTTTTCCTATTTATGGCAAATATTCAAATGTATTAGATATGTTCATATCACATATACATATATATATATCATGCTCATGCAGTATCAAATCCAAACACATGTATTGACAAACATTCATGCATTCGAATAAATAAAAAACGAATAATGTATATATATATATATAGCGATCTGTGGCCATTCCGAAGCAGCAGTTTAAATATTGACAAATATATATATATATAAGTCCATGATGCGTATAAATATGGTTCACCTTTTCTGGTCGTTTAACTTTATGTAAAGTTGGCCAATCAGGTACAACTTCAGCTAATGATGGTCGACGTGTTTTGGAATCTCGTCTAACTTTAAGTAAATTTTCTTGATCAACACGACGAAGTGATGGTCGTCGATCATCCATTATACTTGAACGACGTGAACCAGATCCATTATCATCGCCACCACCCGTCTGAGATAATATAGATATTCATAACAACACATAAAAATCAAAAAAAAATGCATTCTAATTCTGATACTATTTTAAATATCACCACAAGAAATGATTAGGTTCTATTTTACTTTTGGTTGAAAATTTTTCTAACTAAGGTTTTTTAATAAAAAAATTTTATTGATGAATCTATTACCTCTTCTGGTTGATCCATACGAATTTGTGGAGCTAAAATAAAATCGAATAATATTTTTAAAAAAAAAGAACAAATTCATAGTTAAATGAATCATGCAAAAGCATTTTAATCTATATATCTATTCTATAATATATAACTAATTATTTTTCCTATACTAAATAAATACGTTTTAAATTTATTTGTTCTCTTTCTTCTTCTTCAATTTTTTTCTTTTGTTTATCGCGATGTTTAAGTAATTCACGAAAATCTAATCCATCATCTTTTGCCGCTATATATATATTTAAAAAATAATTGAATATTTTATTTTTTTTATATTAATATAAATATGAAAATCTCCACGAGCTTCTCCATGTTCATTTTGTATTGTAATAGCATAGGGTGAGTCATCCGTTTGACGACATGGCGATATTAATAAAGCAGCAATACCTGTTGTTGTATCAACTTCTGTTTTAACCTTAACACCTTCAGCTATTTCAACTTTTCCTTTATACCATGTTATTTTAGGAAACGGATTTCCATCAACAACAACTTCAACAAATGTTGATTGTCCTGTATGTATTTATAATTTTTTATTTATAAGTAATACTAATCTACGATAACTAAATCTAATTTAATTACCTTCTTTCGCACTAGTATTTTCTGGTTTTTCAATAAAAAAAGGTGCAAGTGGTTCTGTATGTATTTCGAGTGGTTCACGTATTTTACGTTCACGTGGTTTTGGTGCACCTGAGTAATTTCATGCATAGCAATAATAAACATGCTTTTAAAACTTACTTGATTCTCCTTCAGATATAATATTAAGTTTTGATTGTGATACGCGTTTTGATTGCGATACACGTTTTTCTTTATCAGCTGGTTTTGATCGTCGAGGACCTTCATCTTCATAAACAGGTTCTTCAGCTATATATATATATATTTCGATTAAATAATATTATAATTAAACTGATTTTTACTTTGAATTGTTGGTACACGGCGATCATCTTCTTCAGCTGCAGCTGCAGGTGGTGTTTCGATCGTAGGTATTGGTGATTCGATTGTAGGTATTAGTGATTCTGGAGTTTTTTGTTGTTCAAGTGCTTGTTTTCGTTGATCCTTTTTACTTGGTTCTTCATCTTTCTTAGGAGCAGTTTTTGGAGCTGGTTTTCGTGTACGTTTTGCTTTACCTTTCTTTTCTGATAATAAAAACGAAGATAATTATGAGGATGAAGATCTATACACTCAATAAAGGATCACCATAATTAAAAATGGGGTTTCTAAGGGCCTTAAAACTAAATCGAAAATAAAAATGTCTTGAAAGGTCTTATTATGATGCTCACAATTAGGAGCAATCCCTGTTGGGAGTCATATATGAATAAATCATTTCTAACGTGGGTAGCAAAATAATATTATCTACCTTCTTGCTTTCAATGCAGGCTTTCAGATATAAAAAGCTATGAAACCAGGAGGAATCCAAAGATATTCATTATATTTTTTATGAGAATCTATTGGAATCATAAATGATCAGATTCTTGTCTATCTCCCCTCGGATATATATCTAGTCAAATGATAAATTTTTTGTTTATGTATATCGATAGCTAATAAAAGACATTATTCATATATATGCACTTCATTAGTGAATCGAGGCATGATGAATATTATTTGTTTATATAAATAGAAAATGTATGTTTATATATTTTTACCTTTGATAGTAACACGAACTGTTTGTGTTGCTTCACCAGCTTCATTCCATGCTTCACACATCCAATCACCACTATCATCAACATAACCATCAGGAATTATTAATTTAGCTATTTTACCATCATATTCTTGTACATAATCCTAGTCAATAAAAACAAAACATATTCCATAATATTATTTCTCTTGAGAACAACAAATGTATATTGAATAACTCTTTTAGATTTAACAGAAAAACAAAACACGCTTGTTAATATAGATCCTTTGGGCATTGAAATATGTAACTTATATATATACAAACATATATAATAAAACAGTCTCTATTATACTTTTTAAGGTCAAAGATATTATTTCTCATATTTACTTCTACATCTTAACCATTATGTCTTTAACCCATTTATTTAACTGACAAATATATCTATTGCATACATCTGGTCTATTCACAGCAGGTTTTAACATGCTATTATATGTCGAAGTAAACTCAAAAATACTGATATTAATAATTCATGCTTTTAGCGATACTTAGATGACGACGACAACAACAGGGAATCAGTAGAGATTACTAACTATTATGTTTTTTTGTTATCTATCATATATTTTAGTTAGAAAACTTCAAGAATATTAATGATTTATAGCTTTCATTACTACAATTAATTAGAAAATAGATTAAACTTACAGCTGATGGTTTAATTTCTTTCTTATTAAGAAACCATGTAATTTCAGGTGCTGGTGTACCAGTAACTTTACATTCTACTTGTACTTTATCACCATCATTAGCTGTCTAGAAAATATAAAGACGCAAATATAGAGAAAAAGAAAATAAGTAATATTTCAACAACATACCACTTCTTTTGGTTTATCAGCAAAAACAGGTGCTGTCATTTTATTACCAGCTGCTTGCGCTGGTTTAGGTTTTTTCTCTTCTTCATCTTTCCTATATATATATGAGAAATACTTCAAATATCTATTAGCATATAAATGATTATCCTACGGTGGTGAAACTTCAGCATCGACTGTTAAATTAACTAATGCTTGAGAATCACCAGCATCATTTTTAGCAAAAATTTTATAAACACCAGTATCAGTTGAAGTAGCACTCTAAATTGTAAGAAAAATAAATTTTGATTTTATGTTAAAATTCAAATCTTACTAAAATTTCAAGAATAAATAAATATGTATCATCGGCTTCTTTTGTTTTCGTTATTTTATATTTATTAGCAGTTTCCTTGATTTCGGTTTTTTCTTTTTTCCATGTTACTTTTGGTTCTTGTTTGCCTTTACAACGGCATTCAATTTTAATTGATTGTTGTTTGGTATCTTTTGTAGTTTTAGGTTTTTCAAATGCCGGAGCTAATTTATCTAATTGTTCTAAATTAGCTTTATCACCTATTGAAAATAAAAATCATTTTTTAATTTAAATAAAACAGAGAAATTAATTAAATCATATACCAGCAACTTTGATAACAACATTCGCTACGGCTGTACCACATTCATTGGATAATGTACATTTATATACGCCACTATCCGATGAAGCCAAATTCTATACGAAACAAAAAAATATTTTGTTTAATAATCGAAAATAAAAAGGATTTTTTTCTTTATACTTTAATATCAAGTGAAATTGTATATTGATTTCCACCTTTTCGCTCAATACGTGTAACAACTTTATCGACGTTAAGTAATTCTTTTCCATCTTTAGTCCAATGTAATGATGGACTTGGATCAGCAATAATATCAATTTGAACAGTAGCTGTTTTAGCATCTTGTTTAATTGAGGGTTTATTGAGAAATGATGGTGCAATACCTTCAGGTAATCTAATTGAAAAATAAATCAAATCAAATATTTAAACTTCCTTTTTTCTACATACTTGAAATCAATTCCTTCAATATTTAATTGAATATTAGCTACACCATCACCTTTAACATTTTTAGCTGTAACTTTATATGCACCAGAATCTTTTGCAGTTAACTGAGCAATTTCAAGAAAAATTGTATGTGTATTTCCTTCAGATAAAATTCCTTGTTTATATCTTGCTCCCATCGTAATAGGTTTGCCATCAAGTGTCCATGTAAAACTTGGTATGGGTTCAGCTGTACATCGACATTCCAAAAGTACTGATTCTTCAAACATACGTACTTGTGGTGCTTGAGTAAATGTTGGTCGACCACTACTACCTTGCTCTTGATCTAAAAATATTTTCGGTTTATAAAAAAAGAAAATTTTCTTTTTTTGTCGACTACGTACTATCAAGATTTAATGGAATATGTGCATTACTTTTACCTAATTTATTTTTTGCTTAAATCTTGTATGGCAACATCATCACGTGACCAAAATAAATCAGGTTAAGGATCGGCAGCTATTTTACATTCAAATATTAAACGTTTACCATCATTTTCTTCTTATATAATTGGTTTTTGAATAAATGTTGATACAGTACCTTCTTCCGAGCTAGAATTAGAAAAATTAAATGTTTTGAAAATAAGAAACGAAAAGTTTTTTCGTTAGTTCTCACCTAGCAGCTGGTGCAGCAGCAGCATCATCTTCATTTGAAAAATTCAAGTTAACATTAGCTGTTATTTCACCAGCTTTATTTTTAACGACAATTTTATATGTTCCGGCATCATTTGGACCAAGCTCAGTAATTTCAAGTGTAACATCATAATTATTTCCAGTTGCAACTTTAATTGTTTGTTTATGTTTTGTAGATGTAGTTGAAAGTTTAGCCTCATTTTGAGACCAAGTCACATCGGATGATTGTCGAATAGCTGGCGGTTTAGCAAATTTAGGTGCACTAGCTGCCATTCGTTTTTCGTCAATGGATCGATTGACTAACTATTTGTCTATCTTGAAAAATCAACTAAAAAAAAAGAAGAAAAAAAAAGATATTATCCATTCCATTTGCAGTTATGTCTGTCTATATACAGAAAAATATCAAAGAAATAATCATAAAAAGGATTATTGAGGGTCGACGACAAGCCAAGACTCAGGAGAAAAAAAAAAGAAAGAAAAGAAGAAGAAGATATTCATGACTAGACTGTGCGATAAAAAAATATGTCTATGTCTGTGTATACTATATAAATTGCTGCTGATCGTCTAGCATTTCCAATATGTCAAACAGATGCAAAAAAAAGAAAAGAAGAAAAATATAGTTTGTTTGTACAATCCAATACCAAGAAGCAAAATGATGACAAAAGTTGTTTTTTTACTCCTTCTTTCTACTGTACATCATATCTGTTGTATTCTGACTTATGGCTTGTTTTTCTCTTCGATTATTTTTTTTTAGAAAAACAATAGAAGAGCATTGTCTATTGATGGATAATTGGAAGGCAGCGATAAACAACTAAAATATATACGTGTAACGATCGCTAAGATGGCAAGAAAAAAAGCCAAGGATAATAAAAGAAATGAAAGGTTCTTCTTCAATGAAGAAAACAACTATAAAAAGACAATTGACAAGATAACAATAACAACAACAACTACGACTACGAGAAAAGGCCAACGCAGCATCACACCCATTCCTAACGACAGAAAAATGAGAGACATAAGATATGAAAGCATATTGCAATCGTTCGATATACACAGAAAAGAACTAAGAAGACAAATAAATGTATTGAGATAAGCCATCCAATATGATCGACAATCATAATGGTGATAGATTAAAAAGAGTGCTAATCGTCCTTCGATATACAGAATCATAACTAAACGAATATATTAATTGCAATGATGATGAATATTATTGGTATATTTTTTGAAAATAAACAACTTCATATACACACCAATTTTAAAAATACTATATATCTAATTCTTATTTTCAGCATGAATAACTACGTGTGATAACAAAATTTATTCTAAAAAGGTGATTAGACTGATGTAAAAAACATCCTAATATAATAATGAAACTTCCATTTATATTTTTTTCTTGTCATAAATAACAAAATGTGGATCTTTCTCGATAAAAACAACAAATAAAAATACACACATCATCTACTGAATGTTTTTTGCGCCACACGTATTCTACAAATGGAAGAGATTACGACTGGTGCTGATAATCTTATAAGCATATGTGGAAAGATATAACGATGAAGACGTCATGACAATATCAGGAATGGATAGGAAAAGACAGTTTTTACCCAGAATAGAAAAAAAGAAAAGAAAACAACAAATAATAATTTTATATATGATGAATCTATGAATGCTATTTATATGTTGTTTATCTCGCGATTGAAACTGCTAACGTAATGATATTGAAGAATAAAACAATGAGATTTGCATGGCAATCTATTAAGACAAACAAGAACAGAAGATCATAATCGTTCTAATAAATATATATATACTATATAAAAGAAAATACTCTTAAGATCACCTACACCTACTTTTTTATAGTCCCTTTAGTATATGGAATTTTTTTTATATATTAACAAATATTGACATTAATGTACATTAACCTTCTGGAGTTAATCTTCGAGCTTTTTTTTTCTATTGTGGGTTGTTATCGTTGACAGACTACATGAATTCTATGTACAAATGATAATTGTACTTATTAAGTAGTGACATATTATCAAGAACATATGATCAGACGATGGCTCTCTCGAAGAAAATCTAGTCATTGAATGAATGAACTTATGTAATACAAATAATATATTTTCTTCTCGTCACAGTCATCTCACTATAAGTTCATTGGTGTTAATCTGACGTACAGATAATACAGTTAAGTTTTATTCTTTTTTGTTTTATTGAATATTCTGAATAGAGAGACTTTCACCTAATGACGAGTGTAATATAGGTTATTACTACAAAGGGTGTGGGTGTAAAATGAATAGAATACTCTCACACCTACCGACAGCGATACTCAGCCGACGTTGCACTTTCTCTCATCCATATCCTCATCTTCACCTCCTCCTTTGTTAATGATTAAATGTCATTGATTAGTTTATCACTCGCTCCATTTCTTTTATATTCTTTTCTCTACTCTGATGGATGAGTATATAAGCGTATGCTTAGTATGAAAATGATATGATTCTTGCAAGAAGGAATAGAATAAAGTATCGTTCGATCAGCATTACACTCTTTCTATCAAGAAATCGTCATTGGCGTCACTTTCTTTTTTATTATCAGACGCTATGCGTCAAGATACCTTGGGAAAATGGCCAGATACTCAATCGAACCTGCCTATATATTTAACCATTCAGTCAGTTTTATTTTCAAGTAATAACTAACGATAATGATGATGATTTTTCTCTTGCTATTATCTATTTCTTCGTTGACAACGGTGCGAACGACCGATCGAATACCGTCGCTTTTTGAAGCCATTTTTGTTCGGCCATCGACTAGCGGTTGTGTTACTCAAACTAATGATTATTGTCATGTGGTGAATGCTGTGCATGAATTACTTGGATCGGAACACAACGAAACGTACAGCATTTTGTTAGAAAGTTCAGCTTTTGACGATGCAACACTTAATGAAATGTTTCTATTAGGTCTTCAACAATATGCCTTATTTTTGACGGATAATCCTCAATACATGCCGAATGATTTTAATAATCTTGTGTCAGATTTGGTACGGATTATTTCGCTTCTTGAGGAGAAAGGTACTAGTGCTGTGACATGGTATGATCTCAAACCATACGTTCGTCGATTTCTTGAGGTTATTCAACCAGCACAGCATCATTAGGACGATCATTTTTTTTTGTCTTAATTTGTTAAAACAAATAAATGAAAAGATATAAATAATTAGTGTCTAAATTCAATTGGAAATAAACTGTGCTGCTTTGAGGGTGGGTGGGTGTGGGTGTAAGTATCGGTGTGAGATAGGAAGATCTACCCATACCCACCCGTCGAACTTCTCGACGGACTCTCTTTTGGTAGCTTCCAAGAAATAAACTTCTTATCAAATTGTCTCTCACATCTTCATTATTTCTACTTGTTATGTCTTCTATGACTATTATACTACGAATAAATTTTTCTCTGATTTTTCACTCTTCAGATTTTTCCTTTTTTGGATTTTTATTTTCCGGATCTTTATTTTTCCTGATTTTATTATTTCGAGAGTTGCCGATTCTCTGTTTTAAGCGTCTAAATGCATGTGTAATCAATATGCGATAACATACTGTTATGTGTTGAATAAATGACCGGCGTCATGTATCTTTTATCAATTGAAGATATAGATGTAGTTGTGGGTGAGGGTAGAATAGGAATAAAAAGACCAATACCCACACCCACCCTTCTTTTATAAAACCAACAATTGAATAAGAATAATTCTGTGCACAAAGTTAATGAAAATCGATATTTTCATTTGAATGACCAACATATGTTTTTAATTACTAATGTGGACTCAATAAATGATCAGAATCTCGATAGAAAACTATTTTTCAATGAAATTGATAAAAGAATTTCTCAATGATCTTCAAAAAACTTTCAAATTTTTCGTACCAAAAATTGAATTACTTTAGAGAATTTATATTCAAATATTCAAACTAAACAAATAGAAAATCTACAAAACAATAAATATTTGTAATACCAAAAATTTAACTTTAAATTCAAATCTGTGGCATTATCTTAATTTCAAAAAGAATTATTCAAATTATCAACAATGACAAAAAAAATGAATCTTTAGAATAAATGATGTTAAATTGGAGAATGTTATTTAATATGAAAACTGATCAAATTCTCTATTCAATTCATTACATGAAGAGAAAATTGAAAGAAAATAATAATTCTTTTACTTGACGAAAAACTTTTGAAAAGTCTAAAGAAAAAGAATAAAAACTATTTTTCATCATTTCTTTATAATTCATCGACATATCATATCGAAATATTTTAAAGAAATGCAACATTCTAATAAAATGTTATTCAAAATCGAGTTCTACAATTTGTTCTTTTTTTGTAATATTAAACATTTAATTCTTCACATACACTTTAATAAATTAAGAGTAAAATAAATGAAGTATCCATTGATCTTCTAAATCTTTTATTAATATTGAAAAGAAAAACAACATGATGATCTCTCAATTGAAGAAAATGAAATAGAATTTGTTTGTAAAGAATTGTTTAAATAAATATTTTATTTATTTTCGATGTGAAATTTTTGTTATTCTTTAAGAATAAAATTGTTGAATTCGATGAAAAAAAAGGAAGTGAAATACTTAAATTTGAAATAATGAAAATCTAATCGATATTCATCAAAAGATTTCTTTTTTTCCAAACAAAATCATGATTTAATTCAGCAAAAAATTAAATTAACTAACTTTTCACAATTGTTCTTTGCTTCCGACGACTTCTATTTAATAATAAGATGTTCATCATTCAACTATAAGTTACTCAACAGATTTTACGGAAAAGTGTTTGTCACGTCTTGATATTCAATAAAATACGATCGTCGAGTAAGGTATCTTTATTGAAGAAAAGGAAGAGAGAGAGAGAGAGAACGTAGGATAGAAGATATATATATAACACATGGCATATAACGACAGCTATATATATGTGTATGTGTTGGTTAAAACCATAACAGAAAAGAAAAAATACCATGACACACTGATAGAACATATGAATAATTCCATTATCGTACTGTGTTAGATGATATGGAATATTCTACTATATCAGTGTTGTTTATAGGAAAGTATTTTGCCGACTGAATATTTTGTAAATAGGGATGTGATTAAAGTCAGAGTATAGGTGAGGGTGAATGTATAAGTGCGTTAAGCATATATCAGACATCGACACCCTCAATATGGTGTCGACAATGTACGACTATCGATAAAATCCATTTGGACGAATAAAATAATTCCTTCTATTTAATCAGATTTTGTTTCTTTTTTCGAAGACATATTTGTCTTTCATTACGAAAAATACAATTTTCTACCAACAATGTTTGATTGTACAGTACTTTAATCCATTTCGTTTCATATGAATTTTTTTGCTCTTTCTTTCCAATAACATTTCTTATGTATTGTAGACCTTGAATGGCTTTTTTTTGTCAATCTTTACACATACTTTCGCAATAAAATGCGTAGCTGAAAAAAAAGAAAGGTGTGAGTGTGATCATCTATTCTCTCAATCTGGGATATAGATTCTACACCCCGGATTGAATGGATAGATGATCACACCCAGATTCAAAATCACACTCACCCTCTCGGGGGCTTCTATGTTATGAGGTCTCATAGTCGTAATATTCAGATTGCATTTTATGAGTTCGTAACAACAAAAACGACCATCGAAGAGCCGACTACTTGCGTATCTGACTTTTTACGAACAATAAAATCCGGTCATAATACAGCGCAAATAAAATGGCTATAAGCTACTCAAACTGACGTTTACAGTTGTGCTGATTTCACTAGAACACATATATGACTACTTTTTGTAGTTTCAGCAAGCCAATGTTCATCTCTTTACACCAGTTGGGAAATAATCAGGTAACATAATTAATTTACACTTTAATTGTTCAGTTTCCACATTGACTCGAGCCTACTCAGGTCTAAGGACTCCGCCACCTTTGTTAGTTGGTGATGGTTACGTGTTGTTATCTTCACGTGTTTTATCAATTCTAGTTTAATCAAATACAAGTAATTCGTTATCTGTTTCTAACAAGAAAACTACCCCAAATAATTCCCCAACTGCAGATATAAGATCTTAATTAGAGATACCTATTCCTTACATCAGCATTTGCATCTCTTCTGAGAAATGCAGCATCTCCAAAACTTACGATATGTGATACCGCTGTCCAAAAGAAAGAACAGCGAAAAAGTTGCCAACAGTATATAATAAAAGACGATAAGAGCAAGTTAATTCGTCGTACGTTATATTGAAGGAAACCCACATACCACAGAAGAAACAAGATTTATTATGCTAGAGTCTTTGTTATATGATACACTCTTTGATGAATAAGATATCGGGAAACTGCCAATCTCTTCCTCTTTTCTTTTCAACTCTTCTTCTTGTATTTATATATAACGAACGTCTATGATGTCAGTTCAACAAGTCATTTTTAATTGTAGTATTGGTTATTTTCAAGTCTTCACCGTGTTTTATCATGGACGAATGCTTAAACGAATATATTCAAACTGCGGAAGAATCACTCGAACTGTTACAAGAATTGCTAGCCGAGATCAAAGTACATCAAGACAGGTGCATTGGTTTACAAGAAATGGGCATAACGTTTTCAGTTCTTGGTGGAATAATTACCATCGCAAGTATTGCTTTAGCACCAGCTACTGCTGGGGCCTCCCTTGTTGGTGTTGGTTATGGCATAGCTACAGGTGCCGCAGGAGCAGTTACCAAAGCAGGAGAAGCCGTTGCTGATATGATCTTCACAAAGAATTACTCCGGCGAACTACTTCAAATCGATAGTCGACTAGAAGATGTTGCAAAAAGGTTCTACGAGTACGTGGATCAAATTGAAGCTGAAGCTGCACGCATTATCAAGGAAGATGGTGTGCAGGAAGAGGAAGGTTGGAGACAGGCTATGGTACTCTTATTAACTACTGGAAAGATAGCCTGGAAAGGCAAGCAAGTTACCGGCATTGCTTTAAACATGGGGCCGACTACGGGCTCAACGTTGTTAAAAAATGGAGGCAAAGTGTTCGAGGGCATGCGAGTTAATTCTAACTTGCTCATGTCCTCAGTCAACAAAATGGGCTTTGATGTTTCGAAACGAGCAGCGTTCAGCGCGGTCAAAAGTGCTACAGTCGTTCTTAATGTCGCTTTTATTTTCTGGGATCTCAAATCTGTGGCTGGCATTATTAACAGTGATCACATCCTTGCCGAACCTGTGGAGACGCAAATTGGTAAAATTGAAGAGCTATTGAAGAACTTAAAAGACTTTAGAGACTCGATTGACTTTTAAGTACTGTGCTTGTTCAACTTCATTTATGTAACATTCTTTTTCTTTTCTTTTTTTCAATAAACTAGTACATTTTTACTCTTGAAAGTCGTCGCATATTATTGAAAGTTAACCATATCTAAGAGAGTTTGTTCGTTGTTATCGTCATGCTGAGAGAAACAAAACGAATGACGTTCTCAAGACACGTGGCAAACGTATTTGTAGAGCTATCTCTAGTCTAAAAATTTCAATATTTTAGGGAATATACACTATTTAAAGAAGAAATGTGATGAAATTCCGAGTAATTAGTTATAATCAATTAATAATCTCTCGATCTGATTTGATATGATTGAGATTTTAATAGATTAAAGAATTATAATCAGTTTTAAGTAAAAATCAGATGAATGTGAGTGTTCTGTTTATCCACACTCACACCCACCTTTTCTCTCTACTTCATCATAAAATACTAAAAAAATCCCAAATTTATAAACCATATTCAATAATTTTTTTGAAAGTTTTTTGGTAGTTGTGTAGAGCTTAATTAGCTCTATCGCTTGATTTAATTAAATAATTGTTGGACGAGAAAATAATCAATTTAATCTATTGAAGAAGATGCCTTTCAAATCCATATAGAGGTAACTCTAAAAAGGTTAGAACTTTCGATTTATATGTATTTTTACATGCTCTTTCATCTAAAATACTCAAAAATGGATGTTAAAAAATTTTGTATAACGGCCCAAAGACTGATTAAATCGTATTTAGTTATTAATATATTAGATTTCGAAATAGAAAGAGAGAAAGTTTATAAAATTTCAAAAAATGTTTTTATATTTTATTTTATATAAAACTTTATTTTTGTCTTCTAAAAATTAATGATTTCATCATAATTCACATTTTTATCATCCAAAATATCGAGTCTACGAATGAAAAATAAATATAAATTCAAATTCTTATTATTCTCAATGATTTTAATTGAGACGATAAATCTATTAAAATCGATTGTCTCATGATGATGATAATGCTGAATATCAAATAGAATTTTGTTTTGTTTTTAAAAATTGGGAGAGATGAAATATTTAATAATTAAGATAATTTGTTTATTCATTCTGTTCACCTAATAATACATCGATTGATTTTGAATTGATTTAAACCATCTTGAGGGGTGTGGGTGTGAATCTGAATATTCGGCATACATGAAAACCTTATTAATACCCAGACACTGACACCCACACCCACCCTCAATATCTCTTAAGTTTTCTTTGTATTTTATAATATTTTTATTTATTTGATGAAACAAAACACACACACACACAGCACATATTTCACTAGCTACATGAAATGCATATAAATAAGCGTTAAGACATTCTACTAATTACTTTTATTTTCATTACATCAATGTCAGCCTGTCTGTAGGGCTAAGAGAGACTGATGACTTGAGTCATCACTAACAATTAATGTATTTATCTTTTTCATACAATCATTTTTAGATAATCTTTATAACATATCGTTCCATTGAAGAAGACTAATAAAGTTCTACACTATTTACAATACTACCACCATTTGTTCCCCCACTAACTATCACAGTTCCATCTAATAGTGTGGATGCTGCGTAATATCCGCGTGCTGTATGCATACTAGGACCAGCTGTCCAAAGTCCTGTTGATGGACTATACAATTCAGTAGTATTGAAATAAGTGTTACCACTATATCCACCAACGACTAATACTGTTCCATTTGTTAGTAGAGATGCTGTAGGCCCTTTTCGGGATATGCTCATATTATCGGTAGTTGTCCAAGTACCAGTTGATGGATCATACAATTCAGCACTATTTAAAATAACACCACCATTAGTCTCTCCACCCGTAGCTAATACTCTTCCATCTGTTAATATACACACTGCAGGAGAATCCCGTGCAACATTCATACTACCAGTAGTTGTCCAATTACCAGTTGATGGATCATATAATTCAGCAGTATTTAAATAACTACCATCATAGCCGCCTAAAGCTAATACTTTACCATTTGTTAATAATACAGCTGTTGGATTAGTGCGTGCATTATTCATGCATCCTGTACGTGTCCAAATACCAGTTGATGGATTATACAATTCAGCAGTATTCAAATAACCACTATTAGCATTTCCACCTAAAATCAATACTTTCTCATTTGTTAATGTGACTGATACTGGACCAGCGCGTGCATCATTCAGATTTCCTGTGATTGTCCAAGTATTTGTCATTGGATTATATATTTCAGCACTATTTAGAGCACTACCGTCGTTACCACCAGCTACTAAAACACTACCATTTTTCAATATGGATGCGGTATGTGAATTTCGTCCTGTGGTCAAAGCACCAACAATCGTCCAATTTCCCGTTGCTGGATCATATAATTCAGTAGTAGTTAAAAAAGCACCATTATATCCTCCAGTAACTAATACTTTTCCACTATTTAATACGGATGCTGTGTGAGATTCTCGTGAAGTGCTTAAGCTGCCTGTAGTTACCCATACTAAATAAGATACATATAAAAACTCTTTTTGAAACTTCCGAAAGCCACTCTTTTGTACAGCTACAGAAACTATTAATTACTTAGCCTGTTACTTACCCCTAGGCGTTGTTGTTGTTGTCGTTGCTGTTGTTGTTGTAGTTATAGTTCGCGCTAAGAATATCAGTCATTATACAAGATGATTAAGTTATATTCGTAGTTTTTTTACTCTTCAATACTCCTGGAAGACAACAATCCGCATCCACGTATGCTAGACTTAAGAACGATTTCGAATACTCAAATTATTTTTTTGTTTCAATCTCATTAACAAAAAAAAACAGCTCTTGTACCGAAACCATATAAATAATACAATGTTTCTTTTTTTTCAGCAAATGAAAAAAATTGCTTTGAAAACAAACATGCATCAATTTAAGGCTTCTTTTAAATAAAGCTTGCATTCGTCTAAGCTATATTCAAAAATTTGAAATATAAAACTGGATCTATAAGATAGAGAGCAAGATTACGTACATGATGATAGCACAATTGGAATGCCAATCGCTGCAGCCAAAACAATAGTAACAGTAACTACCGAAAAAAACAAGTACCACATGTGACAATGTGAAAGTTGCCTAGAATGAATAATAACACATTGCCTTATTAAACGTTATTCTGTAATAAACACTATGAAAAGCAGTGAATCATGAGAAAAAGATATAATTTATTGTCATTATCTACTAATGACCTTGAGGATGTGGGTATAGTCTTAAGTTCATATCCACACCACACCCACACCCTCACCTAAGAAAAACAATTTTTTAGAACGAGTTCCTATAGTGTCGAGTTATGATACATTTGTTTTACACCTACCAATGAACCTTCTTTGCCCGTTTTGCTTGTTTTAAAGTATTTTGACGTGAATGCTCATTTTCTGGTATCACTTTGCTTGTTTTATTGAATGTTTCATGGTTAGTTGACTGAAAAGTATCATTCGGAACAGATTTTAATGAATTTTTCTTGGTAGACAAAGATACTTTTGATGAGTTCTGAACAGACAACGTATTGGTCACCTTGGCTAATTGAATTGGTTTGCGATGTATGCGTTGTACATGACACTGATACGGTAGATTGGTGATGCGAGCTGGTTTCATACTTTTACCTTATCACTGAAATGAATTAAACTTTGTATGCGGAATTTATCGACAAACTCTATTCCCTTTTTTTTGAATTCAATCTGTTCTCCAATGTATATGGCAGACAAAAGAAATTTAATTAAATGTATTACAGAGGTTTGTTTTATACTAATAAAAGAAATAGAAACCAAACAAAAACCAGCAAATAGATTGAGTTTCATCAATGCTTCTTCAATCATTTACATTTTAATTTGAGATTAGGCGCGACGATGTGAGTCTGTCTCAGAGCTGTAGAAAATGGTCTAATACGCGTACTCGTACCATTTTGATGGTGTGGGTGGATAAGAAGAAGGTCTATACTCACACTCTTTTTATATTGTAAATGATCAGGAAAATGAAATTCTTGTATATTATTACAATCAAACAAATGATATTAAATAGATTACGGGTGTGAATATCGGTGCCAGTGTGGGTGTCTTTGATCTCTTGATCCACATTCATCATCGACGTCATACGTTTTGTTTTTTGTTGATTTTAGATTTTTTCTTGTCCATCGTAGCATGCTATGATGAAAGTTAAAAATAGCCTCGTTTTATTCTTTTGGGCGAAAAAGAATAAGTATCGTATGAAAAAGATGGTGTGTGTGAATGTTAAATTCATATAATACTCACACCCACGCCCTCAGGATGAGTGCAGGTATTCGATTCATTTCTCACCCACACCCATAACCTCAAAATTTGTTTTGTGTTAATTCTTCTCACCTACTCTCACACCATCAAGATGGTATATAACAACTTCTTAATAGAAAGGGTGTAATGCTTATCGAATGACACTTTATTCTATTCCTTCTTCCAAGAATCACATCATTTTCATACTAAGCATACGCTTATATACTCATCCATCAGAGTAGAGGAAAGAATATAAAAGAAATGGAGCGAGTGACAAACTATAAATTAATTAATGACATTTAACCATTGACAAAGGAGGAGGTGAGCATGAGGATGTAGATAAGAATAAGTGTAACGTCCGCTGAGTATCGCTGTCGGCAGGTGTGAGAGTATTCTATTCATTTTACACCTTCACCCATACGTTTCTAGTTTTGTTGTTTCTTAGAAAAATTCTCAAATAAAAATTTAACTATAAATACATGATTTGAAATTTATTTAGTAAATATAATAAAGATATCTGATTCTTAAAACAATATTTATTGATTTGTAATAATAATCTATAGTACTATCGTCATTAGACGAAAGTCTCTCTATTCAGAGCATTCAATAAAACTTAACTGTATTATCTGTTCTTCATCTAATGTCAATCTGTCATCAATCAAGAAATTATTATCTGTACACCAGATTAATATCAACGAACCTTTAGTGAGATGACGTTGACGAGAAGAAAATACATTATTTGTATTACATAAATTTAATCATACAATGACTAGATTATGAATATGATCAATTTATTCGTTTGTTTATTATTTCATCGTTAATAATCCATTTCTATTATTATTATTATTGACGATTATATTATATACTTCAACTGTATATAAATTTCATTTTTCTTCGAGAGAGCCATCGTCTGATCATATGTTCTTGATAATATGTCACTACTTAATAAGTACAATTATCATTTGCACATAGAATTCATGTAGTCTGTCAACGATAACAACCCACAATAGAAAAAAAAAACAGCTTGAAGATTAACTCCAGAAGGTCAATGTACATTAATATCAATATTTGTTAATATATAAAAAAAAATTCCATATACTAAAGGGCCTATAAAAACGTAGGTGTAGGTGATCTTAAGAGTATTTTCTTTTATATAGTGTATATATTTATTAGAAAGAGTATGATCTTCTGTTCTTGTTTGTCTTAATAGATTGCTATGCAAATCTGATCGTTTTCTTCTTCTAGACAAAAACCTTCTTTGATTCTTCAACATCATTACGTTAGCAGTCTCAATTACGGAATAGACAACATATGAATAACATTCATAGATTCATCACATATGAAATTGTTATTCGTTGTTTTCTTTTCTCTTTGCTCGAGGATGTGGGTGAGACAAATAAGATGCATCCACCCACCCACACCCTCAAGATGATATGGTGAAGCCATCTGACGAGGCTGTGAAATTAAATAGAAGCGCGTCATGGCGGATCTATTCACACCCGCAACACGATCTTACCAACTATGTCTCTTTTCCGTCTAATTTGAGCCGATTTTCCATATCGATTTAATTCAAAACGTCCCTGATGATCATCCCTTGAACAAGGGTCGAAACAATCGTCGCAAGAACTTTAGAACTATCTTGCGAAATTTCCCCGGCCCCCATCTTGGGTGTCGCTCTGGATAGGAAGAATAAGCCCGCACCCACACCCTCAAGAGTTTTTACAAATTGTTTAGAAATATGATTTCGTCTTTGTTTATTCGAATTCAGTTAAAAAGCTTTGAAATATTCCATTGTGCATGATAATTTTGCGAAAATTGAAAAGGAGGGAAGGAGACATCGTGGTCCTAACAATTTTGCAAAATCTTCCTGTGTACGCGACCGATTAGTCAGAAAATGTGATCTCTGAATAAACATCTTAGATAAAAATGATTCTTTTTATTTTGAAATTTAAGAAAGTAAAACAAAAGTATGATTATGAATTTGTATAATTCACAAGATTTCCTTGATAATTCTTATAATTGAAACCAATCTTTAGTTCAATAAGTGTCTAAAAAAAGAGGAAAAAAGGTAAATAATAAAATACAATTGATAATTACCGTATTAGATTTTAATAAATCTCGAAGATATTCTATTCCAATACGTCCAATTGGATTACAAGATACATCAATTTGTTTAAGTGTCTAAAGATATTTTCAATTTATGTTAATTTAAATGATTAAATAAAGATTACTTGATTTCGTTTTAATGATTGTGAAAAATATTCAATTCCGTTTTGATCAATGTCATTTCTTCGAAGATATAATGATGTTAATGTCTATTTAGAGAAATCAATAAGAATAAAAGAAATAAGAGAGAATAAACATTTACTGTATTTTTCTCTAAAGCATCACCGAGATATTTCACTCCTGAAAGTCCAATTTCATTAATACCAAGATTTAATTTTAAAAGTGTCTATTGAAGAAAAAATGAATGAATAGAAAACAATAAGGAATATTAACAATATTTGTTGATAGAAAATCAGCAACAATTCGTGTTCCTTCATTGCCAATTTCATTATTTGATAAATCAATTTCAACTAATGTCTATTTTAGAAAAATTGAAAATAAATAAGAAGAAAAGAAAAGTTTTACTTTATTTCTTTGTAATATAATCATAATAGATTGAATTCCTTCAACTCCTATTTCATTATTATTTAATCTTAGAATACTCAATGTCTATATTATTTCAAGACAGAATTCAATGAAAATATTCGATAAATTAATAAGAACTTACTGTATTATTTTCTAGAGCATTAGCGAGACTCTCTGTACCAATTGGACCCATATCAATACGAGAAAGAATCAATATTTCTAATGTCTATTATAGATTAAATTACATTGTAGATTTAACAAAGTCATTTAAATTCACCTTAATATCTTTTAAAGTAGGAGAAAGATATGTTAGACCATCATCACCAATTCGATTATTTATTAAACAGAAAGTAGTTAATGTCTATGTGAAGAGAAAATCATGTAAAGTCGAATGAAAAATAGAATTTACAATATGATTTCGAAGCAAATCAGATAAATGTCGTGCGCCAGTTGAGGTTATATTATTACTTATTAAGTTTATTGTTTGAAGTGTCTGCGATAAGGAAAAATAGAGGAAGAATTTAAAAAGAAAACCACTTAATATTCATACAGAGTTATTCAATAAAATATTATTAAGATATTGAATTGTTTTATTAGTCATTTGATTGCTTTTGACTTCTAATTTGAGAAATATCTATATTGAAAACATAAAAAATATTTAATTATATTCGAAAAGATTTACTGGATTAGCTAGGATATTGATAATTGATCGACTTAAATCGTTTTCTAAGTATATACGTCTGTCTAAATATAGTACTACATAAGTCTAAATATACACAAGATTATGCAAATCAATGATTTCACTATGCTAACCGTATTATTTTCCAATCCATCAGCAAGATATTTCAGTCCCTTTTGACCAATGTCATTAATCTTTACACGCAATTTTTTCAAACTCTATTCGAGAAAAAAAGATGATACATATACAAATCTAAAATCAAAGAGAATTACCGTATTATAACGCAAAGCATCACCAATATGTTGTGCACCAGCAGATCCGATATTTTTCTCATCGAACTTTTCGTATGATGTCTATTTACACAAATAAATATTCGAATTAAAAGAAAAAAGATAAATCTTACCAAATTCTTGCGTATGCGTTCGGCTATTTTAAGTACTTCACAATAACCACAGACGTCTCCTTCGAAGTCCGAACGTGAAAATACGGCGCTGTTGCGTAATACAGAAATGACATTACTTCTTGCTTCTAATTCGTTAGAGTTCGATATATATTCACGATCGGACATAGGATACAAAATTAATTTAGTGAGTGATTGTATCTTAATATGATAAACTTAAATAAAGAGATCAAGTTGAAATTAGAATTACTCACTGGATTATATCGTAAAGCTTCAATAAAATAATCAACTCCCGCAACTCCAATTGTATTATAAGAAAGATATAACGTTTTAAGTGTCTATGATAAGACTTCTAAAATTAATAAGGAAAATTGTACGAGAGGAAATACTATTACTGTATTCTCTCGTAAGGCATCAGCGAGATATTTTGCACCCGCAATGCCAATTCGATTACCACTTAAGTAAAGTCCTTCTAACGTCTAAATCAAAGAGAGAAATTTGGATATTGGAACTGATAAGGAATATTAATAACTGTGTTATGTCGCAGAGCTTCAGCGATGATTTTAACTCCATTATCGTTAATACCAGTGCATCTCAAGTTGATTTGTTTTAAGCTCTAAGAATATGGAAGATAAAAGATAAATGCTAAGAGTCTTCTAAAATCAAAAGTTACATAATCATTTTTGATTTGCAACGACGCTTCAACAGCGGTGCAATAACTGCATTTATTGTCATGTAAAGATAAATGGATGAGAGTCTGTTTATAAGAAAGAGAAGAGAAATAAAATCTTATAAAAAGCGACAAAAACATACTGTATTCTTCTGTAATTCATCATATAAACATTGTGCTCCAGTTATGTCAATTTTATTGGTAGCAAGATTGAGTATTGTGACAGTCTTTATATAGAAAAGATTATTAATATATGACATACTAGATAAAGATAAAGATTACCGTGTTCGTTTTCAATGCAATAGCAAGATTTGTAGCACCATCATCACCAATATTGTTTTTTTTAAGATAGATCTTTTCGAGTGTCTAGATATTGAATATGGGTTAATATTTGTACAAAACAAAGTCAAACAAATATATGCAATTACATTGTTGTTCTGTAATGTTTCAGATAAAGATTTTGCTCCATCATCTGTAATCTTATTTTCATTAAGATCCAGCTCCTTCAATGTCTATAAATAAGAATCGATAGAATCAATTCAAATAATACTCGAAGATATGATTACTATATTCTTATGTAATGCTTTGCAAATATAAGACATTCCATCATCACCAATGTTATTTGCTGTCATAGAAAGTGCGATCAATGCCTATAAACAATAAATGACAAAGAAAGATTAGAGAAAGAGGTGATAGATACTTGATTTGTATTCAACACATCAGCTATATGTTTAGCTCCTTCATTTCCAATATCATTGTTATGGAGGTTCAATATAGTAAGTGTCTGCGAAGAAATAAAAAAAGAAATGAAAATGATAGAAAACTATCATGAATTACAGTGTTGTGTCGTAAAGCTTCAGCAATATAATGTACACCAGCAGCACCAATTTTGTTACAAGAAAGTTCGAACTTTGTAAGTGTCTGTGAAAAGAATGATAGAATCATACGAAAATAATAGGAAGCTGATTCTATTACGATATTCTTTCGTAAGGCATCAGCAAGATATTTTGCTCCTTCAGCATAAATATAATTACATGCTAACTCAAGTTCTTCTAGTGTCTAAGTGAATAAAAAGACAAACGGAATATTGGAAATGAGTACAGAATATCAATAACTGTATTATATTGTAGAGCATTTGCAATAAGCCTAGCTCCTACATCGTAAATATGATCATTCGACGAGATTTTTGTTAGAAACTAAAAACAAACGAGAGAACAAATAACAATTGCAAATCATTTCAGACTAAAACTACAAGATCATTTTTTATTTGTAATGCAGTTTCAACAGCTTTATAATAATACCGTCCATTGCCTTCCAAAGACAGTTTAACGTCAGTCTGCGTATAGAAAAAAAATGAACATAATCGTGTATAGAAAGATTAACCGATATACGATATCTTGTTGGAGATCATCAAACAAATACTGTGGCTTAGGTACAGTAATTGAATTATTATTGAGATTGATCGTTAGAACAGTCTGCATACAAAAAGTATGGTAACTATATGTAATACAACAGATGACGTTACAAACTATCGGCTTGTTTTTTAATGTGATGGCAAGATTTCTAGCACCATCGTCACCGATATAGTTTCTCTCAAGATCGATCTTTTCAAGAATCTAAATATTGAAAATCAAGTTAAATTTTACGCAAAACAAAACCAAACAAATATATACAATTACATTATTGTTTTTTAATATTTGAGACAAGTATTTTGCTCCATTGCTTGTAATCAGGTTTTGATGAAGATCCAGCTCCTTCAATGTCTAAATAAGAATCGATAGGATCAATTCAAATAATACTAGATGATATTACTATATTCGTATCTAATGCTTTACAAATCCAATACATTCCCTGATCACCGATATTATTTGCTGATATAGAAAGTGTCACCAACGTCTACCGATAATAAAAGATTAAGAAAGATTAGAGAAAAATGATTGCTACTTTATTTGTGTTCAATATATCAGCTATATATTTGGCTCCTTTGTCTCCAATATCATTATTATAGAGGTTCAATTTGGTAAGTGTCTGTATATAGTAGAAACAATGTATTGGAGATCTATGATAAGGAAATGAGTTATACAATGTTATGTTGCAAGGCGCATATCAAATGTTGAACACCAACAGCACTGATTTTATTCATATCGAGATTTAACGTTCGAAGTGTCTACAAACAAAAGAAAAAAGATGAAATGAAGTATGAAAATTATAAGAAGACTTTGTTAGTTTCCAAAAGATAAGCAATATGTTTGGCTCCTTCATCTTTAATATCATTGTAGCCTAGATTCAGTGTAATCAGTGTCTTTTTATACCAAAAGTAGTAGATATTTAAAATATCGTGAATAAATGAGATTTACTGTATTATTTAATAATGCTTCAACGATATATTGTGTATCAAGTGCTTTGATTTCATTAGCGGCTAAATTTAGCTCGACAGTTGTCTGTATTTCAAAGAAAAAAAATATTTTAGATAATATGAAGCAGATCATCTGTGAAGTACCTGATTATTTTGTAGTGCATGAGCGAGAAATTGCAAATGTGAACTTTTTAAGCGTAGATCGTAAGTAAGATCTAGTACAGGGAATGTCTATACATAAATTAAACGAAATATAGATGACATCATTAAGATTTTTGATGTTTTTATCCAGACATCGAATCTTTCATAGTGTGTAATATTAGACTTTTTTGTGTCTCGATTTCATCCTCACCCGAAAATCTCATTTAACGTAAACTGTACTACACCATCATAGGTAGAGCACAAAAATGCAACTATTCAAATAACTATACTTACCTTATGTACAGTTTCAAGAGTAATTTCGTCTTTCGACTGATCATTTATATAATAAGTATTATCTTTCGATGAGATCCCATATTGTACGTGAGATCGATATCGAGAAATAGAGTGATAAGCAGGTTCAGTAACTGGTATTGTAAAAAGTGATATCGTATCTGAATTAGATTTCCCGAGACCTTGCTCACAAACAGTAAACCAACATTTTTCATTGAGCCAAAATGAATCTCGAAATGGCGCTATGACCGTATCCAGACGAACGGTATCATTCTCTGCAAATTCATAAGAAATGAAGAATTGGAATTTTTTAAGAAAACTCAGTTCCATTCGAACAAATTTTTCCCATTCATGAATATTAATCAGAGATTTGAACATCTCCGCAGAATAAATTAAATCGAGTTCACATAGTTTTGGTGTTTTTGAAATTAATGATCTAAGATGTTCTGTCGATAGAGAACAACATGTAATGCTTAGATGTGTTAATTGTGAATTAAATGAGAAATTTAACGAAGGTAAATACATAGAATTCTCATCAATATCGATATCTTTTACTTGAAATGTTTCTAAACATGGTAATTGACGAAGAAGAAATGAATATTGACTGTAGAAACAACGATCTATTGATAAAAATTTTAATTTGCATTGGTCGGGCCAGGACATCACTTCAGCTTTATAAAATAAATCTTTCCAAGACAATTTTTGAAGTTTTGATTTCTCAGCAAATAATGAAACAACTCTAAATGTTAAAGCCGCCATGACTGAGTGGTTACGTTGCTCGTCACGTATCCACAGGATATCGTGTTCGAATCTCGATAACATCAGTCATGGAATGACCTTAGACAAGTCACTAGCGGCTGTTTGTCTCGGTCCACCCACCCGATAACATGCTGATTACATAGTTAGTCAGTGCGTATGGGAAGCTTAAGTGATTAAGCGTGAAAGGTGCCCTTGAACAACAAGGATAGTCCATCAGGGCTTGCAATCCGCACGGACGAAAACCAAAATATGCAATGACTCAGCCAAGGGAATCCAAACTGGCGTCCACGAACAAATGGCTGAAGTGCTTCCATCAATGTTATCTTTAACTTTGTTATCTTCAATTCTGATTGTTATCCTTAACTTTGATTGTTCTTAACTTTGTGTTATCCATAACTTTGATTGAATAAAAAGCTATTGATTGATCTAAATGTTGTATTGCTTGTGTCACTACAATACTTGATTGTGAGTGAAACTAATTTAATCTTATCTGTTTTTTGGAATAAAGATTGTATACTTGTATCATCAATATAGTGAAGAGTCAAATGTCGAAGCCGTGTGCATTGCAACAATGCAGAAATAAAAATTTCTTTCTGATATTCTGAACCACGATGCCATCGAGTCATTAATGACACTACACGATTATATAAAACGTGATCAGGAATGCTTCGTTCATTTGTCCTATATTTGTGAATATCAAGCGTAAGTTGATGTTGATCATATTGATTCACAATAGAATGAAGCTTCTTACAAACATTACTGATCTTACATAGAATTGTTTGAACATCACAAAAATGAAAAATACGATGAAGTAATTCCACAGGAAGATTGGGTAAATATGATTCTTCCATTAAAATGTATTGAGTAGTTTATAGAAAGTAATAATCTATGTCAATAGATTAAATAAACAATAAAATACTTTTAATGAGATAATATAAATATGTGGTTGATGTGCAGATTTCTGCTGCTTAAATGATACATTTCTACTAGAGGGTGTGGATATGAGTATTGTATCCATCACGTAACTGTACTCACTAACACCCATATTCACACCCTCAGGAACTAATACATCATCATTGTGAGCCAGAAAAAAGACTCATATACACATTCTTTTCTTCATGATGCATCAGAGAATTTTCGGTTTTCATAACCTGGGAGGAATTTCACTCAACCCCTTCCTACTCTTCTCTGTCACGACAATCCTATCTCAATTTTCCTCTAGACCAAGAGTTATGCCACGAAAAATTTAGTGACCCTACCTATTACCGAGATCAAATGCACAAAGAACAGGCAGACAAACATTCTCGTTTTCATAGACAGATACCGGCTTCCATACCCCATGCTCACACTGAGTGCAAAAAGGTGACAGTAAGAGGTGGATAGTCTCGAAATCGTAGCAAACCCTCTAAATTTTTGAAAAAATGGTGAGAACTGCAGTTTATCATAACCAGGGTGAAATTCCATTCAAACTCTCTCCCTCATCCTGATTGGTCGCGCTAACCTCGTTTCGACCTTGGTTTGAACCAAGGGGAGTGTCATGGATGGTTTCGTGATGCTAACTATTACAGGAACCGAATGCATAACGAACAAACAGACAGGCAAACAAACATTGTTCTTTATATATATATAGATAGATGATTATTAAAAGTAATTTCTTTGACTAAGAGTTCAGAACTCATAAATCAACTAAAAACATACGTATCGATCGTAATTAAATAAAATTCTTCAAACTCTGATAACTGAACACATTTGCCAAACTCACGGAACTCATCGGGTTCACAGAACTCTGAGAGTTCAAGAACCCCACCGAACTGACATTATTCGCGAAAGTGAAGAAGTAACTGGTTTATGCGAATTGTAAGAATATTAAAAAGTCATGAAGTTAAAGAAACTTGTATGAGAATCGAAAGTCTCGAACGCACGTATCGTATAGATTCAAAGGGCATGTGAGAATCCTTTGAATTCAGGAAAGTTGGGAATCGAAAAAATAGAGAGTAGGTAGAGAACTCATCAAGAGGGTATGGGTTAGTATATCTTACTCATATCCACATCCATACCCTGTTACATTCCTTGAGTTCCGTCGATTCTAGTTGATTTATAGGTTCACAAATCCTCAAGAGTTCAGTACTCATTGTACTCCAACACATCTCCTTTTTCTGAACGATTTAAATATAAAACTTACCCAAATAGGATTATTTAAATCGATTGACTTGAAAAATTGTAATAGTTTGTAAAATTCGGGTGATATTGTGTGTGTGCGACTAAATGTTCTTTACGCGGAATGATTTATTTCGTTTATTTTGTAAAGTAACAACAGTTGCAGTTCTTTTTTCTTTTTTTCCAATGACGCATTTTATTATGAAAAAATGTCTCAAGATCGAGAAAAAAACCCATGCAACGTCCACAATACATAAGAAATGTTATTGGAAAGAGAAAAAAAAGAATTCATATGAAATGAATTGGATTTAAGTGCTGTGCAATTAAATATTATTGATATAAAACTGTATTTTTCTCAATAGAAAAAAAATATCTCTTCAAAAAGCAGAAAATATATCTGATGAAATAGAGGGTATTATGTTATTCATCTATATCTATTGGTAGACAGAACATTTCGTCGACATCATATTAAGAGTGAGAATATCTGATATATCCTTAATGCACATGTACATTCACCTTCAGTTTAGTCAAACCCCTCTCTACAAAGCATTTTGTCGGTGAAATACTTTCTTATAAAAATTATCGGTAAAGTCTGTTAAACAACTTTTATTTGAACGATGAAGATGTTATTGTGAAAAAGAAGTTATCTAAATCAAAGAATAATTGTGAAAACTGAGTTAATTTAATTTTTTGATGAATTAAATTGTGATTTTATTTAGAAAAAAAGAAATCTTTTAAGAAATATTCATTTTGAAGAATTGCGAAAATCATTTCTTTATTAAGATTAAAAGCAAAATCTTTTGATAAATATCGATTAGATTTTCATTATTTCACTTCTTTTTTTTTTATCGAATTCAACGATTTTATTCTTAAAGAACAACAAAAATTTCATATCGAAAATAAATAAAAGATTTATTTAAAAGATTTCTTCGTTTTCTTTAATCGAGAGATCATCATGTTGTTCTTCTCGATTCCTTTTTATTCTTTTCAATATCAATAAAAGATATAGAAGATCAATTGATACTTCATTTATTTTACTCTTAATTTATTAAAGTGTATGTGAAGAATTAAATGTTTAATATTAAGAAAAAAGAACAAATTGTAGAACTCGAATTTAAATATTAATGAACATGCAAAAAAAAAGAAACGATAAAATTCTTTTGAATTCACGGTTGAATTTATTAGTAACTTTTAGAAATTATTTTCAAATAGCTCAAAATTTAGTGGGATCTCCATTTATATTTGGAAAGAAAAGAAATCTTAATTTGTTGTGATTCATTGATAATAAGTCGAAATATTATTTTAATCGTACGATGATCATTTTATTAGAATGTTGTATTTCTTTAAAATATTTCGATATGAGATGTTGATGAATAAAGAAATGATGAAAAATAGCTTTTCTACTTTTTCTTTAGATTTTTCAAAACTTCTTCATAAAGTCAAAGAATTATTAATGTACATCTATTCAGCTGTCACTTTTATTTCAATTTCAATTTTTAAATTCTTGTTGTTGAGCGAATAAAATCTAAACGAGAATTGTGATCATATTATAATTTTCGTTCAATTTTGTCTTCATGTGATGAATTGAATAGAGAATTTGATTAATTTTCATATAAAATAATATTCTCCAACTTAACATTTTTTAATGTGAAGATTCATTTTTTTTGTCATTGTTGATAATTTGAATAATTCTTTTTAGACTTAAAATAATATCGCAGATTTGAGTTTAAAGTTAAAATTTCGATGTAATAAATATTTATTGTTTTATAGATTTTCTATTTGTTGAGAAACTCAATCTTTAACAGGAAAAATTTTAAATTCTTTTATGACATTAATAATTAAAGAGATATGTTGATTAATCGTATGAGAATATCGTTTTTATCAGCTTTGTGCACAGAATTGTTTTGATTCAAATATAGATTTTATATAACAAAACTATTGAAAAATAAAAAATATTTATCTGAAAGAATTTATTATTTATTATAAAATTAAATCGAGATTAGTAAATGAGAATAAATACGAATTTATGTCGATTAAATCGTCTGACTAATTTATTTTAATCGTAGAAAAATTGTGAAGGCCACCAATCATTTTAAAATAAGAAAAATATCTCTACTCATCGTGAAGAAACTCATCGAATTTGACTTATATTTTTATTGTGAGGATGGATAAAGTCTTTCCGAGATCTACATCATAGTTGAATCGGTTACTGCCGCTGTCTGACAATAACAAAAAGAAAAAAGAAACTATTACATTAGTTTCTATAAAAAGAGTCAGGAAAATGTTGTTGATAGTTTTCGTAAACCTACATTAACTATATGTGAGAAGTTCTTTTATAATCGATCTGATCTTTTATGTATATTGAATGAATGAATTTTTATTTATAAAATCTTTTAATAAATCAGTTTTTTAATAAATAATTATCGAGAGTTGATAATAATATTTAATAAAAATAAACATATTCGATTCTCCTAATTCATATAAAAAGATTATCTTGTTTGGGTGGGTGTGGGTGAACGTGAGTAGCGTATTGTAATTCGACATCTACTCCCGCACCCACACCCACACCCACACCCACACCCACACCCACCCACATTCATTCACACCGCACACCCATCCAAA